GTCTATTTGAAAAGGAGTGTAGCCTGTGCTGGAGTGGACTGCATTATTGTAGGCAACTTCTGCAAAAGGAAGTAAGTCCGTCCAATCCCTCTGTTGGAAATTTAAAAAACATCTCAAATATTGCTCAAGTACCGACTGGCAGCGTTCCGCTTGTCCATCTGTCTGAGGGTGATGGCTAGATGTCAGTCACTGAGTGGTCCCTAAGAGGGATAAAAATTCCTTCCAAAATGTAGACGTAAATTGCACTCCCCTATCAGAGATGATGCGTTGGGGTGCCCCGTGCAATCTGTAAATGTGCTGGATAAAAAGTTTTGCTAAGGCCTTTGCAGTGGGAATTTTTTGGCAAGGGATAAAGTGCAACTGTTTGGAAAATAGGTCCGTGACTGTCCAGATAACAGTATTCCCATTGCTTTCAGGCAATTCCACTATAAAATCCATGGCTATTTCTCTCCAGGGGGCTGAGGGACTTGCCACTGGTTGTAACAGCCCTGGCGATTTCCCTTGCAACCTCTTTGCTGATGCACAGGTTGGGCAGCTGGCAACATAACTTTCTATGTCCTTTTTTATTGATTGCCACCAAAATTGCCGTTTAATTAAGTGTAAAGTTTTTACAAATCCAAAATGCCCTGCTGATTTTGTGTCATGGCAAAGTTGCATGAAAGTTAGTCTTTGAGTTGTTGGTATATATAAATTTTCCCCTACCCAAGGCAATCCGTCTCTCATTGTGCACACATGTTTGTTTTTCTGGAACCAATCATCTGTTTCCAAACTTTTTCTGAATTCAATCCCAGTTTGGCTGTCCAGTTGTGGTTTTATTTTGGCTTGGGTTCTTGTGGTTACTGGCGCTGCCAGTTGTGATTCTGCCATTATTGGTCTAGAGTCTGTGGTTCGTGCGCTGTTATATTGGGGCATGCGAGATAGTGCATCTGCCAGGAAGTTCTTTCTTCCTGGTAAATGTTTGAGCTTAAATTGGAATTGGTGAAAATGCTGGGACCAGCGGTCTTGTTTGGGATTGAGTTTCCTGGAAGTTTTCAGGGCTTCTAAATTTTTGTGATCAGTCCATACCTGGAAGGGGATTTTGTTGCCTTCCAGGAACTGTCGCCACGTGAGTAATGCCCAACGTATCCCATAAGCATCCTTCTCCCATACGGGCCAGCGCTGTTCTGTTTCCGTGAGTTTCTTAGATGTATATGCACAGGGTTGCAATACTGCATCATCATTTTCTTGTAATAGCACAGCCCCCACTGCCACAATCACGGCATCTGCCGTATTATGAAAGGGCTTGTCCTATCTGTGTGTCTTAGTACTGTTCGGCAGAAAAAAGTCTCTTTTAGTCTCTCAACGCTGCTTGGCACTCCATTGTCCATAGTTTAGTGGCATGGCTAGGTTTGTACTGTGATGTTCCCTTCGTTTTTTAATAGTAAGTTGTGAGGGGCAAGGCTTCTGTGTGCAAATGAGGGGATAATTGGCGGTAAAATTTTCAAAGCCAGAAACTTTGAAGTTGCTTTCTGTGCGGGGTGGTGCCCATTCTAATACGCTCTGACCTTCTCTGGGTCCTCATTTCATGCCTGTGGGGATAGGATAGCCAACCCCCCCCTTTTAAAAAAAAGGTTTTGTTTATCTATCTTTCTGGTGGAATTCGCATTTTGAGAGTTTGGCATATAGTGAGCGCTCGCAGCTTCTTTAAAACCGCACGACAAGTTTGACGTGTTCTTCTTTTGTTTCAGTAAAGATAAGAATGTCGTCCAAGTAAACAAGGACCCCCTTAAACAGGTGCTCCCTTAGAACTTCATTGATTAATTGCATAAAGACTGCAGGGCCCCCTTGTAATCCAAATGGCAAGACTTTGAATTGATAGCACCCCATGGGCAGTTAAATGCAGTCTTCCATTCGTCCCCTTCCTTGATTCTCACGCGATAGTAAGCTTCCCTTAGGTCTAGTTTAGAAAAAATTTTCCCTTTCGATAGGTGTGACAGCATGTCTTTCATGAGGGGCAGCGGGTATAGGTTCTTTCACTGATTGTGTTCAGGGCCCTATATCGCCGCATAAACGTAAATACCATCCTCTTCTCTCCTAAAAGGACCCAGAGAAGGGGGGGGCAGCCAATTTAGGCTTAGCTGGTTCAATGAAACCTCGGCTCCAGGTTTTTTTTTATAATCTTTCCATTTCCTCCTCTCCTTTTGGGCTCATGGAGTAAATCTGGGTTTCCGGGAGTGTTTGCCCCAGGCTTGAATTCAATGGTACAGTCTGTGGGTCGGTGGGGGAAAGCTCATTCGCCCTCTCCTCACTGAAGACTTCAGCAAGGTCTCTATAGTCCTCTGGTATTTCTGTTAATCTTTTTTCCTCTCCTATGGATGCTTTTTCTATTCTTGATTCTGGTAGCCTCCCTTGGGGTTTTAAGTCCATAGGGTCCCCTTCAGGAATTTGATTTCTGTCGTCCTCCAATTTACCCAGGGTTTCCATTTTTTCAACATTCATCCCTAGAATCATTGGCATTCCATAACCTGGGGTCACCACAAACGTTAAGTCCTCTTCCTGGTTGCCCAGGGAGAGATGTATTGGCAAAGGGGCTAGGGTAGCTGGCACCCCCCCTGCTATGGATCCATCTAGCTGGCCAAATGAGATTGGTTGTTCCAGTCTCCTGGATGGGATGCCCAGATTCCCCACTAGTGGTGGGCTAATGAGGCAGCGGGTGCAGCCAGAGTCTATTAAAGCTTTCACCTTCACAGCTTCGGGCATGGGGGGGATTAATATAGTCACTGTTTTGAAGATGGGTGTGATGCATCCATTTACCAGGGGTTCGCCCTCCGAGCTGTCATCTGAGGCTCCCCGTCCCTGTGGTGGTAGGCTTGGAGTTCTTTTCCCCTTGGTGAGCAGAGGTGGGGTTTTCTTTCCTGCAATTTTCCTCATTTTCTATGGCTGTTTCTTTTGGCTTAGGCGAATACCCTCTGTGTTTGTTGTTATTGGGATCTGTCTGGGTTGTGCTGGGTGGGCCTTTGAGCGGCATTCTACAGCTCGATGCCCTTCTCTTCCCTCTCCGCACATTGAAACACCCCATCTGCTTTCTTGGCTGTATCCGATGATTTAACCGGTTGGTGTGTCAGCTCGGCGGGGGGGCTGCTCCATGTTTTCCTCGCGATGCCTCTTCAAATGTCGATCTCCTGTTCCTCTGCCAGACGTACATTCCTCAAGTCGATGTGGGTCTCCTCGGGTCAGGCACATCATATAGATCATAGTTTAGTCCGTCTTTGAAATGGCCAAGGAGGATGTCTTCTGGCCAATTCAGTTTGCTGGCAATGGCCCGGAATTCTTGTGTATACTCAGCCACTGGGCGTTTGCCCTTGCCTCATCGTTGTTATCCTTTCACGGGCTTTGCGATCAGCCAGGGGGTCTTCAAATGTCTTCTCAAAGAGGACATGAAACGGTTGAAGTTACTGATTTCTGGGGCATTGGAGTCATGCAAGTTCACTACCCAATCCGCAGCTGGTCCATCCAGGGCAGATTGCACGATCCGGATGCGGGCTTTGTCGCTGGGAATATCCTGCCCATATTCCTCCATGTAGCTGAGGACTTGGGTTAGGAAAAACCCCAAGCGTGTTTGCTCCCCTTTGAATTTCACTTCCAACGGTGGACGTCTTGGAATGGATCGGTGCCTCCTTGTGGGTGGTAGTGCCTTCCGTCCAGATTGCATCTGTGGTCCGGCAGGGGGTGGGAGCTCCTGGATCAGTAGATGTCCCTGGGGTTGCAGGTTCCATGTCCCCCTCGGTGTCTCTCCCTTTGCGGCTCCAGGAACTGGGGCGGCCGTAGGGTTCAGTATTCTCCTCTCCTAGGGAGCTGAGAGTTCTTTTCATCAGGTCAATAGCTTTCTCTAGGATCCAGTCTGAGTACGGTGCCCAGCTTCCTCCCTCTTCACTTGCGTGCAGGGATTTCTCCATCTCCTGCTTCCATTCTGGTTGCTTGGTCCCCCGTCTCAGGGTCACCTTTCTTGATTCCTTTCCCCACTCACTTTTCTTTCCAACGCCCATCGACCAGCGAGGCTTGTGGTCCTGTGTCTCCACCACTTCTTCTCCTGAGAATCTGGCCTCTCGGATCCCAACATCTGGCAAGGTTCCAACTGGGTCAGCGGCTCTCTTTCCAGGGAGTTTTCCCCTCTCTTGCTTCATTGTCTGACATGGTAAATTTTTGCAAAATCCCCCGTCAAGGGTCTCCCTTCCAGGTGGATTAATTTTGCAAGTCCTGTCTAATGTAAGGACCCACCCCACTTTGCATCTTAAGAAGACAGAACTATTGGAATAATTCTTCCAACAGGAATCCTTTATTAAGAGAAAATGGTTGCAGGCATGCTAGACAGGACTTGGGGTTCAAGCTCTCCCATTCAAGGTTTTAAGGGGTTCCCCAGTAGTCCCACCCAATCAACCCCCCTTCCAGTGATAGTTTCAAGTATCACAATTCCACCCCCTTTCTTCTTTCTTCCGTCTGAATGGAGACTTCAGGTAACTACATGAAAGGCAAGTATCCTGCTTTGTTATGATAAGGTTCTCTAGTGTTAACGCTTTGATGTTACAATAAACACACATTCAGCATTCAGCTCTTTGAAGTGTACTGAAGGAAGTGAGGGCCATAAAGCCCCTTTGTTCTCCCCCTTCTCTCCCTCTTATGGCAGAATCCAAAGAAGGCAGAATTGGGAGTTTCTATATTCGATAATTAAAGATGAAATATGATTGGATTCTGACATCACACAGCGTCTTTCCTAAGCAAGGAGGAGATTTAATTGGAGCTTTGGTTGAAACAGAAGTGCCCTCCCAACTGAATCCATGTTGGCCGATGGAAGGAAGGAAGGAAGGAAGGAAGGAAGGATGGAAGGAAGGACGGAAGAAAGGAAGGAAGGAAGGACGGAAGAAAGGACGGAAGGAAGGAAGAAAGATGCCAGGCAGCTGTTCCGAAAACAGAGATTCGGCTCGGGAAAACAGGAAAAGGTGAGAAAGAACCTCAAGGCTCTCCTTGCCTTGATGCTCTTCGGCACCAGCCGGAGTGAACGGGAGACGTTGTCAAGATTCTGTTAATTAGATGATAGGACAGGAGGAGGAGCCACTTCTCACCCCGTAATAAAGAGCGTCTCCGTTCTCAAACACGACCCGGTCAATCGTCTTCATTAGTTCGTACACCTGAGCCTCCCGTTCGTCTCCTTCGGCCATGTTGTTAAAGGCCAGGCAGCGGTTCTCCCAGCCGGCCAGGAATTCCTTTTGATCCGGTTGATTTTCAGCCGGTTCGCCTTCCCGCTGATCTTTGTGGGTGAACAGGAGGATCACATAATCCCTGCCTTTCTCTCGGAAGATCTCGGGGATCAGCCGTTCCACGTCCTTCCCCTTCTGGGAGACACGGTCGGGGCGCATGACCCAGAGAATAACGTGGGGACCCGGGCCGCATAACTTCAGACACTCGCTCATGTCGGCAGCGTTTGGATGCCCGGTGTCCGGGAAGCCAGGCGTATCGACCACCACAATCCTCCTGCCGTTCCACAGCATCTCCTCCTTTTGGCAACGTTTTGTAGCTGACCTAGGTGACATCCCAAAGACTTTCCTTCCCAGGATGGTGTTCCCCGTCGCACTTTTCCCACTTCCGGTTCTGCCCACGAGGACGATCCGCCGTTCGAGCCCTACAACCCAAAAGGGGAGAAGAGACACAAAGTCAGCGTACGGGCCATCGTAGCCGGTCTGTTATGGCTGACTCGCTACGCAGCTTCGTTTGCATCCGGACAACGGTAACGGGACCGGGGGGGGGGGAGGCACCGGAAGGTGAGAGAGGGACAAGAGGAACGCAAGTGAGCCTGACTTAAAGTCTGAGACGGACCCAACACGACCAGGTCGTTCAGCGGGGAAAGTCCGAGGCAGTCGGATCATTCCATAATAATAATAATAATAATAATAATAATAATAATAAAGTTGGAAGGGACCTTGGACTGGACTCAAGCAGAACTAAAAGCAATGGATAGGCAGACTAGAAAAATAATGACAATGAATCATGCCCTTCATCCACGCAGTGACATTGATAGACTTTATCTACCAAGGCAAATAGGTGGGCGTGGAATGCTACAAGTACATCAGATGGTTGAAGAAGAAAAAATGGCTTTGGAAGAATATCTGAAGAACAATGATGAAGATGCACTGAAATTAGTATATCAGGAAGGCTTACTAACTACTGGAGAGACCAAACTGGCCTTCAAGAAAGACCAAATGAAGAACAGAATAGAGGCATGGGAAGACAAAGCACTACATGGCCAATACATGAAAAAAATAGCTGGGAAAGCAGATAATAATAAAACCTGGCAATGGCTAAGAGCAGGAAAATTGAAGAAAGAGACCGAGGGACTAATTCTGGCTGCACAAGACCAAGCCTTAAGGACAAATGCATACAAAGTCAAAATTGAGAAGACAGCAACAGACAGTAAGTGCCGCCTATGCAAAGAAGCTGGAGAAACAGTGGACCACTTGGTAAGCTGTTGCAAGAAGATCGCACAGACTGGTTACAAGCAGCGGCATGACAAAGTAGCAACAATGGTGCATTGGAAGATCTGCAAAAAATATCATTTGCCTGTAAGCAAAAACTGGTGGGATCATAAAATAGAGAAAGTCATAGAAAATGATAAAATTAAACTGCTCTGGGACTTCAGAATTCAAACAGACAAGCACCTGCAACATAACACCCCAGACTTAACAATTGTCGATAAGAAAGACAAAAAAGTCTGGATAGTGGACGTGGCAGTGCCTGGAGATAGCAGAATAGAAGAGAAAGAACTGGAGAAGATAACAAAATACAAAGACCTACAAATAGAAATAGAAAGACTGGGGCAAAAGCAAGCAAGGGTAGTACCAATAGTCGTAGGCGCCTTGGGCGCAATCCCAAAACAACTGGAGCACCACTTGAACACCATTGGCATTGACAAATTCGCTATTAGTCAATTGCAAAAGGCGGCCTTGCTAGGAACTGCTTCCATCCTGCGACGATATCTGTAATACCATCAAACATCCACATCTGCCTATCCCAGGTCCTGGGTAAGGACTCGATAGGTAGACAAAATGCCAAATCCAGTCTGAACATCTGGCTGACTGTGCGATGATTGATATAATAATAAAGTTGGAAGGGACCTTGGAGGTCATCTAGTCCAACCCCCTGCTCAGGCAGGAAACCATACACCATTTCAGACCAATGGCTGTCAAGTCTCTTCATAATAATAATAATAATAATAATAATAATAATAATAATAATAATAAAGTTGGAAGGGACCTTGGAGGTCATCTAGTCCAACCCCCTGCTCAGGCAGGAAACCATACACCATTTCAGACCAATGGCTGTCCAGTCTCTTAATAATAATAATAATAATAATAATAATAATAATAATAATAATAATGAAGGTGGGAGGGACCTTGGAGGTCATCTAGTCCAACCCTCTGCTCAGGCAGGAAACCCTTTACCATTTCAGACAAATGGCTGTCCAGTCTCTTCTTCAAAACTTCCAGTGTTGGAGCATTCACCGCTTCTGGAGGCAGGTTGTTCCACGGGTTAATTGTTCTCACTGTCAGGAAGTTTCTCCTTAGTTCTGGGTTGCTTCTCTCCTTGCTGAGTTTCCACCCGTTGCTTCTTGTCCTGCCTTCAGGCGCCTTGGAGAATAGCTTGACTCCCTCTTCTTTGGGGCAGCCCCTGAGATATTGGAACGCTGCTATCCTGTCCCCCCTCGTCCTTCTCTTCGTTAAACTAGACAGTCCCAATTCCAGCAGCCGTTCCTTATAAGCTTTAGCCTCCAGTCCCCTAATCATCCCTGTTGCTCTTCTCTGCACTCTTTCTAGAGTCTCAACATCTTTTTGACATCGCGGGGACCAAAACTGGATGCCGGATTCCAAGGGTGGCCTTACCAAGGCCTTGTAAAGTGGTAGTAACCCTTCACCTGATCTTGCTTCTATCCCTCTGTTGGGGCAGCCGAGCACTGCGTTGGCCTTTTTGGCAGCTGCAGCCCACGGCTGGCTCCTATTTAAGGGACTGTGCACTAAGACTCCAAGGTCCCTCTCCCAGTTGCTACTATTGAGAAAGGTACCCCCGATACCAGACACGTCAAACCCGAGGCCCGGGGTCTGGATGCGGCCCGCGAAGTGGTTTCATGTCGCCTGCGAAGCCACCCTGGAAACAGTGAGGGAACGGCCCCCGCTGCCTTGGCCCTGCCCAAGGCCGACTGGGAGGCAATGTACAATTTTGCAGTGGCCAAGACGCATGACCCACAGACTAGTGTGAGGACCCGGGGTGCAAAACCTCATACACTTCCCGAGCTCCGCGACAGTTTGGGACTCTGGAACCCCAGGGTCGAAAAAGCCCGGCGTATCCACCACCACCACCTTCCTGCCATTCCACAGGCTCTCCTCCCTCTGGCAAGTCTTTGTTGGTGACCAAAAACTCAACCTAGACTCAAAGACGTTGCTTCCCAGGACGGTGTTTCCCGTCGCCCTTTTCCCACTTCCGGTGCTGCCCACCAGGACGATCCTCTGATCAGGCCCTGCAACCCCAAAGGGGAGAAGAAATAAGACGGGGACCCGGTCGGCAGCGTACGGCCATCGCACCCTGTTCCCGCCCCTACCCCATCCCACCATCCCTCCACCACCACCCCCCGGGCCCAAGACTTTACCTCGGAGGCTTCCAGCCATTTCCGGACCACGCCTTTCTTTGAAGTGGTTTATGTCCGCCCTCAGCATGTCCTCCGTGTAGCAAGTCGCATCCCCGTTCTTGTACACGAGCTGATCGATCATCCGCATCAGTTCGGCCACCTGAGCCTCCCGTTCTTCTCCTTTGGCCTTGTTGTTGAAGGCCAGGCAGCGGTGCCCACAGTAGGCCACCAGTTCCCGAAGCGCGACGTTTTCTTTGGATATGAATTCCTCCAGCGTCTCCCCTTCCAGGTCCTCCTTGCGGGTGAACAAAAGGATCAGGTAATTCTTGCCTTTGCGACCGAACACCTCTTTGACCAGCTGAAGCATCTCCTTCTCCTCCCGGGTGAAATAGCCAATACGCATGACCCACAGAATAACGTGGGGGCCCGGGGTGCAAAACTTCATAGACTTCATGAGCTCCGTCACAGTTTGGGACTCTGGAACCCCAGGGTCGAAAAAGCCCGGCGTATCCACCACCACCACCTTCCGGCCATTCCACAGGCTCTCCTCCCTTTGGGAAATCTTTGTTGATGACCTAACACTCAACCTAGACTCAAAGAGGTTTCTTCCCAGGATGGTGTTTCCCGTCGCGCTTTTCCCACTTCCGGTGCTGCCCACCAGGACGATCCTCTGATCAGGCCCTGCAATCCCAAAGGGGAGAAGAAACAAGACGGTGACCCGGTCGGCAGCGTACGGCCATCGCACCCTGTGCCCGCCCCTACCCCATCCCACCCCCCCTCCACCTCCACCCTCCGGGCCCAAGACTTTACCTCGGAGGTTTCTAGCCATTTCCAGACCAGTCGCACAGCGCCAATCTTGGGGGTTGCTGCGTGAACGGCGAAACGGGATGAGCCAAAGGAGAGGCTGCCTCGCTCGGAGGTTCCCCCCTAGAAGACACAAGCGGGAATTGGGGGGGCAAAGAGAGTCCCCCCCTCCCCACGGCCCTTGAGGCCAAGTCATCCTGTTCCTGAACCGGCTGGGGGATGCAGGAGACTGAGTGACACACCAGTGAACTGACCTAGGAGACAGTTCGCAGCCCTTCCTGGACCCCCTTTTGCTTGACCCCCTTTCCTGGACTCTCTTCCTGGACCCCCATCCATGACCACTTTCTTGGGGCCCCTTCTGGGACATTCTTCCTGGATCCCTTTCCCAGACCCTCTTTCTTGACCCCTTTTCTGGACCCCCTTCCTGGACCCTCTTCCTGGACTCTCTTCCTTGACCCCTTTCCCAGACCCTCTTCCTGCACCCCTTTTCTGGACCCCCTTCCTGGACCCCTTTCCTTCCTCCTCCAGGAGTGTTCCCCTCTCTCACAACCATACAGCGATTCCCCAGGAAGGCCTCGTCTTACGACACATCCTTTCGTGACCATGGCCTCAAATGTCATCCAACTGGGCAGCCTCCCTTAGCAACGTAAACTTGGGCCTCAGTTATGGCTGGTAAGCTGAGGACCACCTGTCCTTCTTGTCAAGACCACCCCTGTCGAGAGTTTGGGGGAGAGGGACGCCTTCCCCCGGCATCCCGCGCAGACCCCCAAAGGCGGCAGAAGGGTTGCTGGAGAAGACAGGCAGAACTGGAGCTCCCCCATGTGGCCGCCCACCGACGGTATTCCAGTTTCTGTGCTGGGCAGAGGTAGAGTAGAATAGAGCTGGAAGGGACCTTGGAGGTCATCTAGTCCAGCCTCCGCGCTCGAGCAGGAGAAACTAGGTCCTACACCATCTCAGACAAGTGACTGTCTAGAATAGAATAGAATAGAATAGAATAGAATAGAATAGAATGGAATGGAATAGAATAGAATAGAATAGAATAGAATAGAATAGAATAGAATAGAATAGAATAGAATAGAATAGAGAATAGAAAATGGAATGGAATGAAGAATATAGAATATAGAATATAGAATATAGAATAGAATAGAATAGAATAGAATAGAATAGAATAGAATAGAATAGAATAGAATAGAATAGAATAGAATAACTTCCGGTGGATCAAGCCGCGATGATGGCGGCTTTCTTAGAAGCTGCTCGTTCCCGGATCGTGTAAAAGCCGGCGAGACTTTGATAATCAGCTGTCCCACGGCTTGAATCTCTTCCCTGGGAGAAAGGGAAGAGAAGAGCCACTCAGGTAGAGGAAGAGCTCCCCTGGATCCCCTATAATTTTGGAGATCGGAGGGTAGAGCTCCCTCGGAGCCTAAGCCAACTCTGCGCTCCAGGATGTCTTTGTTCTGAAGTTCTGGGACGAAGCAAGACGCCGCTCCCACATCTGCTTTTTTGGGTGGCTTTGTGAGTATTTATATGCAGACGGAGCAAACCAGGAGAAAGTGGATTTAGGATTGATTGTGACTTTAACTCCTGCAAGTATCTTCTCCCTTTTTATTGTTTACTTTCCCCTTTTGAAGAAGAAAGGGAAAGTGAAAGGCAAAATGGCGACTATCTTTCTTGTTTGATTTTGCAACAAAGTTAAAAGTTGGTTACAGTTTATGTTTCAAATATAGAGTCAAGAATCTTGTTCCTCTTTTCTCTTTTTCCTTTTTTTTCTCTTTTTTACTATTATTATTATTTAAAGAACTGTGATATTATAGAGGCAAGAATTTTGCTCCTTTGAATTTAAGAGAATGGCTTCAAAACGTTTGGTCTCAGTTCCTAAAGCTTCTATCTCCTCTCCAATGACTCAACCTGTTTCTCAGGCTAAACCAAAGTAACCCCCACCCTCCCCTCCTCCTGCAATTTCTCTTAAAGATTTACAAGAAGCTTTAAAAATGAATGCTTTGGATATTAAAGAGGAGGTAAAAGACCTTATAATTGCAGAGAGGGCTATTACAGAAGAATTATTGGAGAAAAAAATAAGGAAGTCAGAGAGGATATATTATTTGCGTTTCAAGGTCTTGCTTTGCATATTGAAAGGATTGATGATAAAATGGAGGAGATGACTGAAAATGAAACAAGACTGGAATCTAGAATGGAGGAAGTGGAGAACAAGATTGAATCTACACAGGATGAACAAACTATTTCACAATACAGAGAAATGGAGTTTGCATTGCACATCAGGGGATTGAAAGAAAACATGCAGGAAGATTTAAAGATGCTTATTGTTAAAGATATTGCTTTTAATCTTGGATGGAGACCAGAAGCAGTTGGGAATGAGATAGAAAAATTTTTTAGAGTCAGCTCACGGGTTGCTAGACAGAGAAACCTACCAAGAGATGTGGTCATTTATTTTTCCAGAAGATCTATTCGCAATGAAATTATACAGGCTTTTTATAAACAGAGGTTTCAAATTGCAGCCCAAGATGTGATAATTTTAAAAGAAATATGTCCAAAAATTTTAAGAGGCAGAAAAGATTTCACCTTTTGTCTGATGAGTTAAAACATCGCCAAATCCAGTTCAGATGGGAGATTCCAAGAGGAATAGTAGTGAATTATAATGGAACACGTTACAGATCAACTACAGTTTCAAAGGCAAGAGATTTTTATTATTCTATTTTAGGTTAAAGACTGTATGATTAAATGGGCTCAGAATATCCAGGAACCGATCCCATTGGATTTATGGGAGATAATTTGGATCAGAAATGTTAAATTTAGACAAGCCCAAAATTTGAGGGAAAATTTTTATAAACTGTTTTATATGTGGCATTTAGATCCTAAAAAATTATCTTGTATGTACTTTAATTTACAACCCAAATGTTGGAGATGTGGTAATACAGATGCGACATATTTTCATGTTTGGTGGAATTGTAAAAAAGTAAAGGCTTTTTGGATTATGATTTCGTGGAATATTCAAAAGATTTTTAAAAGGAAGATAAAGTTTACTCCTCAATTATTCCTATTGGGTATTTTTGTGGATTTAGATGACAAAGAAACTATTTTAATGTTGAATTTATTAACTGCAGCAAGGTTACTAGTAGGTTCATATTGGAAGAAAGATTTGTTGCCTACTCTAGAAGAATGGATATCTAAAGTTTCTAATTTTGCAGAAATGGCAAAAATTTCTGCTTATTTAAAGGATCATACACAAGTAAGATATATTATTGTATGGAGAAGATGGATAGATTATATTCAGAAGAAGTACGGGACTACAAAGTTTCATTTATTTTATGAGTAAATTTTATAGTAAATGTTGTATAACAGACTTGTTTATGATGATGTAATTTAAGAGGAGTTAAGGGCTAAGTATGATTTTTTTTCTTTTCTTTTTTTTCTTCTTTTTTCTTTTTGTTATTGTATATTGTTAATTTTGTTATTAATAACCTGTACTCTGCTCTGGGAAGTGAGGGGGGGGGTTGAGGGTGGGTGGGTGGGAGAGTGGGTAAATAGGCAGAATAGGATAATATAGATATGGTAATTTACGAGAGACATGCTGCTTGGGCACTTCTCCTACGCTGTATTCCTGTATTTGAGAGGGATGAGAGGAGAGGAAGGTGAAGAGAGGAAGTAGGATGGTAAGAGGAGAAGGGGAGGGGAAGAGAGTAGGTGGGGAGGAGGGAAGGGGGGGAAGGTATTAGAGAGGGTGGATGCAGCGTGGGGGGAAGGAGCAAGCGGCACCTATGATTATGGTTATGGTTATTTTGTAAAGTGAATTTTGCTGTATATGTTGAATAAATGGAAAATAAAAAATTTTCTATTAAAAAAAAGAATAGAATAGAATAGAATAGAATAGAATAGAATAGAACAGAACAGAATAGAACAGAATAGAGGAATGAAGAATAGAATATAATAGAATATAGAAAAGGAATATAATAGAATAGAGAATTAATAGTATAGAACAGAACAATAGAATAGAATAGAATAGAATAGAATAGAATAGAATGGAATGGAATGGAATGGAATGGAATGGAATGGACTGGACTGGACTGGACTGGACTGGAATGGAATAGAATAGAATAGAATAGAATAGAATAGAATAGAATAGAATAGAATAGAATAGAATAGAATAGAATAATAGAATAGAATAGAATAGAATAGAATAGAGCAGTGGTTCTCAACCTGTGGGTCGGGACCCCACTTGGGGTCGAATGACCATTTCACGGGGGTCACCAAACCATGCTGTCCGCCATTTTTTCCCCTTTTCCCTAGCTGTCCTACTCCCTCTTATTGATGGCCACACCCACTTGGGGGTCACCACAAAATGGGGAACTGTATTATGGGGTCACGGCATTAGAAAGGTTGAGAATCATTGGAATAGAGGAATGAAGAATAGAATATAATAGAATATAGAAAAGGAATATAATAAATAGAGAATTAATAGAATAGAACAGAACAATAGAATGGAACATTAGAATAGAATAGAATAGAATAGAATAGAATAGAATAGAATAGAATAGAATAGAATAGAATAGAATAGAAAATTGAATGGAATGGAGAATAGAATAGAATAGAATAGAATAGAATAGAATAGAATAGAATAGAACAGAACAGAACAGAACAGAACAGAGCAGAACAGAATAGATAGAATAGAATGGAAAATGGAATGGAATGAAAAATATAGAATAGAATAGAATAGAATAGAATAGAATAGAATAGAATAGAATAGAATAGAATAGAATAGAAAATGGAATGGAATGGAGAATAGAATAGAATAGAACAGAACAGAACAGAACAGAATGGAAAATATGGAATGGAATGGAATAGAAGAGAAGAGAAGAGAAGAGAAGAGAAGAGAAGAGAAGAGAAGAGAAGAGAAGAGAGAATGGAAAATGGAATGGAATGAAGAGAAGAGAAGAGAAGAGAAGAGAATGGAAAATGGAAAATGGAATGGAATGAAGAGAAGAGAAGAGAGAATGGAAAATGGAAAATAATGAAGAGAAGAGAAGAGAAGAGAAGAGAAGAGAAGAGGTGCTTCTGTGCCCCACTTATTGGGAAGCCCCCTCCCTCTCCCTCCCCCTCCTTCCTCGGCCTTCCTTTGCAGAGACGGAGGGAGGGGATCCCGAGGGATTCAGCCCTCCGCTTCCCCGCCTTAGGATCTCGGCTATCCAGCTCCACCCGTTGAGCCCCCTCCCTCCCTCCCCCCCTCCCCCTCTGACAGCCTCTCCCCTCCCTTTCCCTCCCCTAACACGAGGGTCTCGGCTCTCCCACCCACCCGTTGGGCGGGGGGGCTCTCCCAGAAACGAGGACCGACTGGATGCCCTCGGAAGAGCCCTTCGCCTTTCGCCCACTTCTCCTGCCCCAGCCAGGCCCCCTCTTGGCGCTTCTGGGGAGGGGAGGGCGTCTCACCTGGACGGAGGGATCCGATTGATCCCCGCCGGCTGGATCCGCTGCTCTCCCGGGCCGCCTCTCGGCCGGATCTCCTCGCCCTTTGAACGGCGGGTGGATCCTTGACCACGGGGAAAGGGGAACCCCAGCGGGAGGGGGGAGATCCCCCGACAGGGAGGGCCGGGAAGCAGATCCCGAGGGAAGTCTGGATCTGAGATCCCAAGCAGGCAGCCCCGCCAGGCCGGAGAAGAGCTCCACGGCCGCCCGAAAGGCGGAGAGATCTTCGGATCTTCCAGCTGAGCCGCCGGTGGATCCCAGGAACCAACCGGGGGCGTCAAACGCAGCCACCCACCTGGGATCTTGTCCGGACCCCACCTGGGCGCAGGAGGGACAAGGGTGTGTGGGTGTGTGTGTGTGTGTGTGTGTGTGTCTCCCCCCCCCTCCGCTGTTCCTCGCTTTCCCTTTTGGCTTCCTGCTCCGGGATCCACCCGGCGATCGCTCCGAAGACGTTGATTGGCAGGTGGCCAGTAGGGGAGGGAGGGAGGGAGTTAGGGAGGGAGGGCTCCCAGGCTTCCGGTCATGGTGGACGATCCGTGCCCAACCCCCTGCTGGAGCAGGAGACCCGGACACAATCCTAGAAGGAGAGTCGGAAGGTACCTCGGAGGACATCTAGTCCAACCCCCTGCTCCAGCAGGAGACCCTCCCAGAATCATACAATGAGTTACAGAAGGGACCTCGGAGGACATCTAGTCCAACCCCCTGATGGAGCAGGAGACAGAATCCTAGAAGGACAGTTGGAAGGGACCTCGGAGGCCATCTAGTCCAACCCCCTGCTGGAGCAGGAGACCCGGACAGAATCCTAGAAGGACAGTTGGAAGGGACCTCGGAGGACATCTAGTCCAACCCCCTGCTCCAGCAGGAGACCCTCCCAGAATCATACAATGAGTTACAGAAGGGACCTCGGAGGACATCTAGTCCAACCCCCTGATGGAGCAGGAGACAGAATCCTAGAAGGACAGTTGGAAGGGACCTCGGAGGCCATCTAGTCCAACCCCCTGCTGGAGCAGGAGACCCGGACAGAATCCTAGAAGGACAGTTGGAAGGGACCTCGGAGGACATCTAGTCCAACCCCCTGCTCCAGCAGGAGACCCTCCCAGAATCATACAATGAGTTACAGAAGGGACCTCGGAGGACATCTAGTCCAACCCCCTGCTGGAGCAGGAGACCCGGACAGAATCAAAGAAGGACAGTTGGAAGGGACTGTGGAGGTCATCTAGTCCAACCCCCTGCTCCAGCAGGAGACCCAGACACAATCCTAGAAGGACAGTTGGAAAGGACCTCGGAGGTCATCTAGCCCAACCCCCTGCTCTAGCTGGCGATTTCCGGATAAAAGGCGGTTCCGGACTCATCCGCTTTTTCTCCTCGGAGCCCCCCCACCCCCCGCAAGTCTCCCCCTTGCCTTTGGGCCGCCCCATCTGCGACCCTTCCCCAGCTCTCTCCCTCCCCCCTACCTGGAGGCCCCGCCCCTCCCCTCCCTCCCTCCCCCCCTCGGGAAGGAAGCTGCATCTGAATAGCGGAGGAAAGCGAAAGTCTCCGGGCGGCGGCGCTGCCTGGAAATCACGTGATCGAAAGGAAAGCGAGAGCCAGAACGACCCCCTCCTCCCCCCTCCCGCTCCCCCCCGACCAGCCACAGGAAACGGGCTATTTTTTCCTCCGGGTTTATTAATCGCACAACGGCCGCTTCGGGCTGGGTCGCCTCCCCCCCTTCTCCCCTTCCCCCCCCCCGCCTCCTCCCAGCAGCCTTTCCATCGGAACAGAGCTGGAAGGGACCTTGGAGGTCATCCAGCCCAACCCCCTGCTCGAGCAGGAGACCCTCAGAGAATTGCACGGCTGGAAGGGACCTTGGAGGTCATCTGGTCCAACCCCCGGCTCCAGCAGGAGACCCTCACGAAATAAGAGAGTAGGAGGGCACCTCGGAGGTCATCTAGTCCACCCCCCCGCTAGAGCAGGACACCGTTACAGAACCGCAAAATGACAGTTGGAAGGTCTCTTAGAGCTCTTCTAGTCGAGCCCCCTGCTTGAGCAGGAGACCCGTACGGAGTCATCGAATAATGGAGTGGGAAGGGACCTCGGAGGTCATCTAGTACAACCGTTTGCTCAAGCAGGGAGACCCTTACAAAATAGGCGAGTAGGAAGGGACGTCGGAGGTCATCCAGTCCAGCCCCGCTACTCGAGCAGGAGACCCTGACAGAATCATAGAGGGACAGCGTTGGGAGGGATCTTGGAGGTCATCTAGTCTAGCCCCCGGCTGAAGCAGCAAAATACAAAATAAGAGAGTAGGGAGGCACCTCGGAGGTCATTTAGTCCACCCCCCCTGCTAGAGCAGGCGACTCTTAGAGACCGGCAAAATAACAGTTGGAAGGCATCTTAGAGGTCATCTAGTCGAACCCCCAGGCTCGAGCTGGAGATTCCGGACAAAAGGCGGCCCAGACTCTTCCTGGAAGCCTCCGCTTTTTCTCCCCAGAGCGCCCCTCCCCTCCCCCAGTCTCTCCGCCCCATCGGCGACCCTTTCCCCACCTCTCTCCCCCCCCTTAACTGGAGGCCGGCCCCCTCCCCTCCCTCCCTCCCCCTCCCCTCCCGGGAAAGAAGCCGCCTCTGAATAGCGGGTTGGACTAGATGACCTCCGAGGTCCCTTCCAACTCATCCAGAGAGCCAAGCCGTTTCCCCTGGGGAAGAACTGGCAAGCAACGAAGCCGAATCCTGGCGGGACCCTCACCTTCTTCCTTCGCTTCGGCTCCGGGGTCCCCCGTGGAGCCCTGAAAGAGAACGAACCGGCCGTTCAGACAGCGGACGGTGGAGTCCCTGGGCAGAGCGAGAAGAAGAGACTGGACTGGCGCTTGTCTGGAAGCAGGGGGTTGGACTGGATGACCTCTGGGGTCCCTTCCCACTCTGTTCTCCTGCTCGCGCTGATAGGCCGGTTCTGACGTTTTGCTGGTTGAAGCAACACAGGAAACCAGAAGGTGCCTGTTAAGTTTTACGTGTTTATGCAGCCGAATGCAGCCGAATAGAGATGGACTCCTCTATATATATGTGTATATATATATATATATATATGCTTACTGGTGTACACCGCTTAGAGAGTGCTTGCACTTAAAGCGGTATATAAGTCTCATAAATAAATAAATAAATAAATGAGGAAAGACCCCCCCCCAATGACAAGCAATCCTTGTATTTATTCTGTGTAATTACAGAAGCCGCCCATCCCGCAAAGCTGACGTCCGTAAGAGAAAGATTGCACCCAGGAAGTCTGGCACCTTGCAGATAAGAAGGGAGAGAGCAGAAGGAGCTACACACGTTGGTGTTCCCTAAAGGTATCGTTTTGTTCTCGGGTGGGTTTCGGACGTTGGGTGTTGTCCTTGCTGTCCTTTCCTGACCCTCCACCCAGGACTCTGCAAGTAAGTGGTCAAAGAGAGAGAGGCCATCTGTGTGTATTCACAATTAACACTTAATAATAATAATAATAATAATAATAATAATAATAATAATAATAATAAAGCAAGGGTAGTACCAATAGTCATAGGCTCCTTGGGTGCAATCCCAAAACAACTGGAGCACCACTTGAACTCCATTGGCATTGACAAATTCACTGTTAGTCAATTGCAAAAGGCGGCCTTACTAGGAACTGCTTCCATCCTGCAACGATACCTGTAATACCATCAAACATCCACATCTGCCTATCCCAGGTCCTGGGTAAGGACTCAATAGGTAGATAAAATGCCAAATCCAGTCTGAACATCTGGCTGACTGTGCGATGATCAATGATAATAATAATAATAATAAAATTTGGAAGGCACCTTGGAGGTCACCTAGTCCAGCCCTCTGCTCAGGCAGGAAACCCTATATTTATTTATTTATTTATTTATGAGACTTATATACCACTTTAAGTGCAAGCACTCTCTAAGCGGTGTACACCAGTAAACAATGTATATATATATTTACATACCATTTCAGACAAATGGCTGTCCAGTATCATCATCATCATCATCATCATCATCATCATCATCATCATCATCAAGTTGGAAGGGACCTTGGAGGTCATCTAGTCCAACCCTCTGCTCAGGCAGGAAACCCTACATCATTTTAGACAAATGGCTGTCCAGTATCATCATCATCATCATCATCATCATCATCATCATCATCATCATTATCATCATAAAGGTGGAAGGGACCTTGGAGGTCATCTAGTCCAACTCCCTGCTCAGACAGGAAACCCTACACCATTTCGGACAAAGGGCTGTCCAGTCTCTTCTTAAAAACTTCCAGTGTTGGAGCATCCACCGTTTCTGGAGGCAGGTTGTTCCACTGGTTAATTGTTCTCACTGTCAGGAAGTTTCTCCTTAGTTCAAAGTTGCTTCTCTCCTTGCTGAGTTTCCATCCGTTGCTTCTTGTCCTGCCTTCAGGCGCTTTGGAGAATAGCTTGACTGCCTCTTCTTTATGGCAGCCCCTGAGATACTGGAAGGCTGCTATCCTGTCCCCCCTCGTCTTCTCTTCATTAAAATAGACATACCCAATTCCAGCAGCCGTTCCTTATATGTTTTAGCCTCCAGTCCCCTGATCATCTTTGTTGCTCTTCTCTGCACTCTTTCTAGAGTCTCAGCATCTTTTTGACATCGCGGGGACCAAAACTGGATGCCGGATTCCAAGGCTGGCCTTACCAAGGCCTTGTAAAGTGGTAGTAACCCTTCACCTGATCTTGATTCTATCCCTCTGTTGACGCAGCCCAGCACTGGGTTGGCCTTTTTGGCAGCTGCAGCCCACGGCTGGCTCCTATTTAAGGGATTGTCCAATAGGACTCCAAGGTCCCTCTCCCAGTTGCAACTATTGAGCAAGGAACCCCCTATACCAGACAGGTCAAACACAAGGCATCCGGGGGCCGGATGCAGCCCGTGAAGTGGTTTCATGTGGCCCGCAAAGCCATCCAGGAAACAAGTGAGGGACCACCCCCTGCCGCGTCGGCCCCGCCCCCTGGGTGCGCGCTGGGCAGGGGTCACCCTTTGCGAGGGATGAAGAAATGGACCGTGCCTTGGTGCTTGCCCCGGTCCCCCCACCCTCTTCTGCCAGAGACCCTCAGATCTGTCCCACTCCTGCCCAGGTCCCCACAGTTACCCTTGACGCGAACGATGTGGAGCTGGCCCCGCCCACCCAGTAGGCCCCGCCCACTCCATGCACACCCACCCAGTAGGCCGCACCCACCCGTGCCCCCCCAAGGGCAACCGCAATGCTTGTGCGGCCCTCCATGAAATTGAGTTTGACACACACCCCTCCACCTTACACTATACCTGTGCATTTGGTTTTTCTTGCCGAAATGTAGAACCTAAATGTAGAATGGCTGGTCATTGGAGCAGGGGGGTTGGGCTGGATGACCTCCAGGGTCCCTTCCCAACTCTCTTCTCTTCCCAGCTCCCTCTTCACCCCACCCACCCCTCCTCCAAAGTCAAACAAACCACACACAGCCTCTTTCCTGAGCAAGGAGGAGATTTAATTGGAGCTTTGGTTGAAACAGAAGTGCCCTCCCAACTGAGTCCATGTCGGCCCATGGAAGGCAGGAAGGAAGGAAGGAAGGAAGGAAGGGAAGGAAAGAAGGAAGGAAGGAAGGAAGGAAGGAAGGAAGGAAGGAAGGAAGGAAGGAAGGAAGGAAGGAAGGAAAGATGGAAGGAAGGAAGGAAGGAAGGAAGGAAGGAAGGAAGGAAGGAAGGAAGGAAGGAAGGAAGGAAAGATGGAAGGAAGGAAGGAAGGAAGGAAGGAAGGAAGGAAGGAAGGAAGGAAGGAAGGAAGGAAGGAAGGAAGATGCCAGGCAGCCGTTCCGAAAGCAGAGATTCCGCTCAGGAAAACGGGAAAAGGTGAGAAAAAACCTCAAGGCTCTCCTTGCCTTGATGCTCTTCGGCACCAGCCGGAGCGAACGGGAGACGTTGTCAAGATTCTGCGACTTATCATCCGTAATGTTTCTCGTCTCGGCGGTTTCCTGGTCTGGTCGACCTCAACGGACTGACCGATGGGGAAGCCCCAAAGAGTCTGTGCTTCTAAACGGGCTAGTTGATGTCGGGAGGGGGCAGGATCTTCCCACTGAAGAAAGTCATTTGAGGGGAGAAGCGGGAGTCAAGCTATCTTCCAAGGCCGGACAAGAAGCAATGGGTGGAAACTCATCTCCTGACAGTCAGAATCATTAACCAGTGGAACCACCCGCCTCCAGAAGCGGTAAGTGCTCCAACACTGGCAGTTTTGAAGAAGAGACTGGATAGCCATTTGTCTGAAATGGTAAAGGGTCTCCTGCCTCAGCAGAGGGTTGGACTAGATGACCTCCAAGGTCCCTTCCAACTTTACTACTACTACTACTACTATTACTACTACTACTACTACTATTATTATTATTATTATTATTATTATTATTATTATTATTATTATTATGTTCCCATTTGGATGTTTCCCTAAAGCAGCGGTTCTCCACCTGTGGGTCGGGACCCCATTTGGGGTCGAACGACCATTTCACGGGGGTCGCCAAACAACACCGTCCGCCATTTTTTTCCCCCTTTTCCTTAGCCGTGCTACTCCCTTTGATTCTATTGGCTTTTGAAAGCCAATAGAAGAGACTCTCTTGAATAGAGTCTCATTCTATTAGCTTTCCAAAGCCAATAGGAATGGTCCAGGCTGTCTCTGCCCTGCTGAGCCCGCCAAAAGCCCCATTCGGCAAATGGTGCTGCACCAGTTGAGTAGTCCTCGACGTACGACCGGTTGAGTAGTTCTCGACTTACGACCGGTTGGGGGTCGCGGCATTAAAAAGGTTGAGAACCACTGGCCTAAAGATATTGTATGTTCTTGGGTGGGTTTAGGACATTGGGTGTTGCCCTTGCTGTCCTTTCATCATCATCATCATCATCATCATTTGTTGTGTTGGTGGTTTACTAGCCTGGTCTATTTCCAAGGACTGGGAGAAGGGAAGCCAGAAAGAGAGTGATTCTTCCTAAGGGTGCAGGCTAATAGAGAATTAGGCTGTGGGGCCAGTTGATACTGCGGGGGGGGGGGGGAGCAGGGTCTTCCAATTGAAGTCATTCGAGGGGAGAACCCTCGAAAGAATTGGCTCGGGATGACTCCGCCACGAATCTCTCGATTCGGCTTCTTTGGCGGTCTCCCGGCGAGGACTGGATTAGAACGGAGCAAAAGGGGGGAAATGCAGGGTTGTGGCCTTTGGCAGAGTTGCCCCCTTGGAGCAGAGGATCCAGTAGAAAGGCTTCTGAGGGGGGGGTGTCCATTAATTAGATGATACGACACATGGGGGAGCCACTTCTCTCCCCGTAATAAAGAGCGTCTCCGTTCTCAAACACGACCCGGTCAATCGTCTTCATTAGTTCATCCACCTGAGCCTCCCGTTCGTCTCCTTCGGCCATGTTGCTGAAGGCCAGGTAGCGGTTCTCCCAGCCGGCCAGGAATTCCTTTTGATCCGGTTGATTTTCAGCCGGTTCGCCTTCCCGCTGATCTTTGTGGGTGAACAGGAGGATCACATAATCCCTGCCTTTCTCTCGGAAGATCTCGTGGATCAGCCGTTCCACGTCCTTCCCCTCCTGGGAGACACGGTCGGGGCGCATGACCCAGAGAATAACGTGGGGACCCGGGCCGCATAACTTCAGACACTCGCTCATGTCGGCAGCGTTTGGATGCCCGGTGTCCGGGAAGCCAGGCGTATCGACCACCACAATCCTCCTGCCGTTCCACTGCATCTCCTCCTTTTGGCAACGTTTTGTAGCTGACTGAGGTGACATCCCAAAGTCTTTCCTTCCCAGGATGGTGTTCCCCGTCGCACTTTTCCCACTTCCGGTCTTGCCCACGAGGACGATCCGCCGTTCGGGCCCTACAACCCAAAAGGGGAGAAGAGACACAAAGTCAGCGTACGGGCCATCGTAGCCGGTCTGTTATGGCTGACTCGCTACGCAGCTTCGTTTGCATCCGGACAACGGTAACGGGACCGGGGGGGGGGAGGGAAGGCACCGGAACGTGAGAGAGGGACAAGAGGAACGCAAGTGAGCCTGACTTAAAGTCTGAGACGGACCCAATGCGACCAGGTCGTTCAGCGGGGAAAGTCTGAGGCGGTCGGATCGTTCCCGAAAGAAAGTGAATGCCAAGGATCGGGGGACCACGGACAGTGGGAGGACCGTGAAAGAAGGAGGAAAAACTCTCGGATGCTGTTTGTGCGCAAAATCGTTCGAACCGGCTTCTCTCCTTCTGTAACCACATGGAACCTTCAGTAAAGTTATACTCTTGGTAAAAAAATAAGTGTCCTAGGACAGTGATGGCGAACCTTTTAGAGAGCGAGTGCCCAAAACCTGGGCCTGCCCCACCTCCCACTATGCCCCCACCCACCCTGCTCCATCCCTGCACCCCACGTCCGGCCACAGGGCCACCCACCGCCTCCACGGCCTGCCGCAGATCAGCCAGGCGGCCCAACAGCGCCATGGCAGTCCCCCTCCGCCTGCACCCTGCAGCATCAACTGCGCGTAACAGGGTGTGATGGCAGAGTCTTGTTCCCGCTGCCCAGCTGCCATGTCTGCACGGACCGCGCTCGGGGGTGACTCTCCTCCAGGGGGGGCTGCTAGTGAGGAGAGGGGGACAGCAGGGTCTGGAGCAACGGCACGGGTGCCCACAGAGAGGGCTCTGAGTGCCGCCTCTGGCACGCGTGCCATAGGTTCGCCACCACTGTCCTAGGAGTTTCGTTTGCTGTCTAAACGAGAGGGAGGGTTGACTTCCTCCGCCATCCGCCCAGGACAGCCCTCCACCCAGGACAGCGAGTCCCACCCAATCCCACCCACCCCCCCCAAGGGTTACAGACTTTACCTTGGATGCGTTTAGCCGTTTCCGGACGGTTGGCACAGGATGAATCTGGGGGTTTCTGGATGAAAAGCGAAACAGAATCAGCCAACGGAGAGACTGCCCTCGCTCGGACGTTGCCGGGAACTCGCCTCCCCCCCCCAAGAAGACACAGGCAGGAATTGGGGGGGGAGGGGGTGAAAAGAGGGTGACCCCCCCCCTCCTTCGCCCCTGCTGTTGAGGCAAAGTCATCCTGATCCTGAACCATCCGGAGCAGGGCTTTTCAATCTTTTCACCCCTTGTGCCGCGTTTAAGGTATGGCAACATCCAAGTACCACCCGTTGTCTAGCAAGGGGTTCAAAACTTGATGACCCCCCCCAAAAAAAAGGAAAAAAGCAATAAAGTCCAGGTAGTCCTCGACTTACAACCGTTCGCTTCGTGACTGTTCGAAGTTACAATGGCACTGGAAAAAGTGCCCCCCCAAGCCACAGACGAGCAAGACATCTGCCTGCCCGCCCGGTGGTGCTCTTCCTCCTGTCCGAGGTTTTCGTTGTGAGCATTTTTGTTGAGGATTGGCAGTGGGGGTGGGATGGAGGGGGTGTTTGGTTTTTATTCCGCCCCCCCCCCCGTCTGCTGGGTGGTGGCAGCAGGTTTTGGTCCCTTCTCATGACCCTGGGACACTGTGACCGTCATAAATATGAATCAGTGGCCAAGCATCTGAATGTAAATCACAAGACCCTGGAGAGACTGCAACATTCCAGCTGATTGGCGCTTCTTCTGGGCTCAGCACAAGCACCAGGATCGGTGCTGCTTTCCAGCTGGATCCTGGCGCTTCCGCTGAGCCCTGACAGCCCCGAAGAAGCGCCGATCAGCCGGAAAGCGGCACCGATCCTGGCGCTTCCGCTGAGCCCTGACAGCCCTGCAGTTCCAGCCGTCTCTCGCTCAGGCTTGTGCGGTGCTGCCACCGGTTCAGCTCATTCCCCTCCCCTGCTACCAATTTCCTAGGATTGCTGCATACCACCTGCCAGGTGCCCATGGACCACAGGTGGTACCCGTACCACCGGTTGAAAAGCCCTGATCTGGAGGACGTAGGAGACTGCCCTGGGGGGGGGACTGTTCACACCCCTTCCTGGAACCCCTTTTCCAGGCATGTTCCCCTCTCCGACATCTGTACACTAGAACAGGGCTGTCAAACTCGCCACGTCACACGACGTGTCGCGACGTATCGCGACTTTTTTTTTTTTTTGCCGTTGCCGGCAATGGGGTGGGCACGGTTTCGCTATGATGCATCCGGCCCACGGGCCGGCAGTTTGACACCCCTGTCCTAGAATGCCTCCCCCACAACAACAGAGGTGATTCTGTGCCACATGTGTAGTTACGCCTCCCTCCCTTTCTCTCGCCCTCCCTCCTCTGCCTTCCTTTGCTAACAAGGAAGACGATTCAACTGTCCGGTCCCCACTGTTAGGATCTCGGCTACTAATCTCCACCCGTTAGCCTCCCTGCTCTCCCCCCCACATTGCCTTTCCTAATATGAGGATCTCAGCTGTACCACCCACCCATTGGTGTCACCCAGAGAGGGATCCTTTGCTCTCGTGTAAACGGAGCAGCTCCGCCAGGTGCCCAGAAAGTGCGCTCTGCCCTGGCCCAGGTCCACGCTGCCATTTGATTCTGCTCTGTGGCACGCTGGTCCCGTACCTTGGGCACCTCAGGTAGCTGGATGACGTAGTGTTTCCCCTCGTTCTTCGAAACGACACTTTGCACCATCTTCATCAGCTCCGAGACTTGCGCCTGCCGCTCGTCTCCCACGGCCTTGTTGTTGAAGCCGCAGTAGCGGTTCCCGCACTTCTCGATCAGCTCCTGCAGTGCCTTGTTGTCGGACTGCGCGACGTACTCCTGCAGGGGAGCCCCTCCCAAATCCTCCAGGCAGGTGAAGAGGACGATCGTGTGCCGGGCGGACCCATCCCCAAAGATTTCCCAGACACGCTTCGCCGCTGCCACATCTTCCGCCGTGAAGCGCCCCACCTGGGTCACCAAAATGAAGGCATGGAGACCCGACTGGCACAGCTCAAGGCAAGTTTTCTTCTCCGGTTCCAGTGACGGATCCATCTCTTTGGCATCGAAAAGGGCTGGCGTGTCAATCACGGACACCTGCCTGCCTTCCCAGCTTCCCTGCTCCTTTTGGCACTTCAGGGTGGTGGCGGTGGCTGACAAGATGGACTCAAACTTCCTCTCGCCGAGGATGGTGTTGCCCGTGGCGCTCTTCCCGCCTCCGGACTTTCCGACCAGGATCAGCCGGAGTTCGGCGTCCACTTCTGTGAGTTTGGAAGACAATCGTTATAAAAAGGAATCGAGATATTCCTCGCAACATGTCGGGGCGTCACTGAGCAGGCTGGAAAGGGGGACAACTTTGGAAGAGAGTCACCCCTGCCCTGCAGGGGTTCAGGGATGTTTTTATATCAATCTCCCAGAGTTGCTACAATGGGCTGCTCAGCCGTGCAGATTCCCACAAGCCGCGAACCCCACTTTAGCAGATGTCCGAATACAGCCACTGTGTCCCGCCCCCACGAGCAAAGCCGGAGCCAAGCAAATTGAGACTGAGCTGTGAGGAGGAACAGGGCTGCTGGTGCATGCTGCGTGACGATGGCCCCGGGCCAGGGTACGGGCGTAATATTGGAAGGGACCTCGGAGGTCTTCTAGTCCGACCCCCTGCTCAACAGCCTCTACTGCGCCACCATGATCGCTGGGTGGCACAGTGGGTAGAATGCAGCATTGCAGGCAAACTCTGCCCACCGCCAGGAGTTCGATGCTGACTGGCGCAAGGTTGACTCGGCTCTTCCGTCCTTCCGTGGTCGCTAAAATGTTGGGGGGCCAATAAGGAGACTCTGTAAACCGCTTAGAGCGGGCTCTGAAGTACTGTGAAGCGATATATAAGTGCTATTGCTACTGCTAAGGGAGGTGGGATGTAGGAGCCTAGTGGTGTGTGAGGATCCGATTGAAGCCAGAGGGAAACATTTAGGGCAGCAGTTCTCAACCTGTGGGTCGGGACCCCATTTGGGGTCAAACGACCATTTCACGGGGGTCGCCAAACAACGCAGTCCGCCATTTTTTCCCCCCTTTTCCTTAGCTGTGCTACTCCCTTTTATTCTATTGGCTTTCCAAAGCCAATAGGAATTGTCCAGGCTGTCTCTGCCCTGCTGAGCCCGCCAAAAGTCCCATTCTGCAAACGGTGCTGCACCAGTTGAGTAGTCCTCCACTTACGACCGGTTGGGGGTCGCGGCATTAAAAAGGTTGAGAACCACTGATTTAGGGGGACCTGGTGTGGAAGGAGAAAGACCAGCGGGAACGTGTTGGGCCACGCAAATAAGTTCAGGGCTGCTGGTGCATGCTGCGTGATGATGGTATGGGCGTAAGACCGCTGGATGACTACGCCAAACACCATCCAACTGGGTTGGATATGCTGATCGAAGTTTACCAGCTGCAACCAGGACTGGCAAATCTGTCCCTAAGTGCTACGGCCACCAAGTGAAAAACCACGTGACCAGGCCGGACTTATGACTTCACTTTCTGTTCCATTGTGAAGGGAATTATCAGGGTCGTTCACTGAGACACCGCACGACACCAGATCTGCATCGCGAAAGCGGCGTCATCCGTCGATTCTACTTTGGGGAACCCAGTTGGAAAACTTGCAAAGGGCGATCATGTCACCACGGGAGGCCACAATGGTTGTGCTGGTTGGGAAGTGCCTGAAGGATCATCGCACGACTGTGCGATGCTGTGATGGCCATAAATGTGAGCACTGGTCAAAAGGTTATTTGTGTCTTTTTCCCAACTGTTTTTAATTTTGATCACTAAACGAGGCAGTCAGTCAGTGAGGACTATGTGCATGTTTTCAAGACCTGATCGCCATTTCTGTTTCTGCCCTTTTCATGTGAGGGTCTCAATGCAGAGGAGGACCCTCCATGTGCAGGTCTGGGGAGGGCTGCTTGGTCCTGTGTTTGCCTACATTTTTGTATACCTATATTTTATATTTATACTCAGAGCAGACAAGACAGTCAGGAACATCCTGAGGTAGAATAAGAATAATTAGAAATAATAGAAATAAAAATACAAATAAGAACAGGAACAGGAACAGGAGTGGAATAGAATAGAATAGAATAGAATAGAATAGAATAGAATAGAATAGAATAGAATAGAAGCTGGAAGGGACCTTGGAGGTCTTCTAGTCCAGCCCCCTGCTCAAGCAGGAGAACCTATACCATCTCAGACAGGTGACTGTCCAGCCTCTTTAAAAGCCTCCAGTGACCGAGCACCCACAACTTCTTGTGGCAAGCAGTTCCACTGGTTAATTGTCCTCACTGTCAGGAAGTTTCTCCTTAATTCCAGGTTGCTTCTCTCTCTGATCAGTTTCCAACCATTCTTTCTCATCCTTCCCTCTGGTGCTTTGGAGAATAGTTTGACCCCCCTCTTCTTTGTGGCAACCCCCCACATAGTGGAATACTGCTATCATGTCTCTCCTATTTCTTCTTTTCTTTAGACGAGTCAAACCCAAGTCCTGCAGCCGTTCTTGAAACAGGATATAGGAGACACAGAAGAAAAAAGGCGGGGAAAAGGGAAACACCCCCTTTATAGTTAAGGCAACCAATCATAGCGCAGATCATCTCAGGCACAAGCAGACAAGACAGTGAGGAACACAGGAACATCCTGAGGTAAAAATTAAAGGGTATACAGAACACACAGAAGAAAAAGGCGGAAAAAAGGGAAACGTCCCCTTTATACTTAAGGCAACCAATCATAGCGCACATTGGCTCAGGCATGAGCAGACAAGACAGTCAGGAACACAGGAACATTCTGAGGTAAAAATTAAAGGGTATATAGAACACACAGAAGAAAAAGGCGGGAAAAAGGGAAACATCCCCTTTATACTTAAGGCAACCAATCATAGTGCAGATTGGCTCAGGCACCAGCAGAAAAGACAAACAGGAACATCCTGAGGTAAAAATTAAAGGGTATACAGAACACAGAAGAAAAAGGCGGGAAAAAGGGAAACGTCCCCTTTATACTTAAGGCAACCAATCATAGCACAGATTGGCTCAGGCACAAGCGGACAAGACAGTCAGGAACACAGGAACATCCTGAGGTAAAAATTAAAGGGTATACAGAACACACAGAAGAAAAAGGCGGGAAAAAGGGAAACATCCCCTTTATACTTAAGGCAACCAATCATAGTGCAGATTGGCTCAGGCATGAGCAGAAAAGACAAACAGGAACATCCTGAGGTAAGATTAAACAATATACAGAAAACACAGAAGAAAAAGGCGGGAAAAAGGGAAACGTCCCCTTTATACTTAAGGCAACCAATCATAGCGCAGATTGGCTCAGGCACGAGCAGAAAAGACAGTCAGGAACATCCTGAGGTAAAATTAAACAGTAAGGGCGGGAAAAAGGGAAATGCCCCCCCCCCATTAAGGCCACCAACCACAGTGTAGATCGCCTCATGCAGGACCCAGCACCCTCCAACCAATCAGTACAACTGGGTGTTCTGGCCCATGGTACACTTTACTGTTCCAGCCACTAAATTCAATAGCTTAGCAGGTCATCACAGAATACAGAATCACAGCGTTGGAAGGGACCTTGGAGGTCATCTAGTCCAGCCCCCTGCTTAAACAGGAGACCCTTGCAGAATGGCCGAGTTGGAAGGGACCTCGGAGGTCATCTAGTCCAACCCCCTGCCCAAGCTGGAGACCCTTGCAGAATGGCCAAGTTGGAAGGGACCTCAGAGGTCATCTAGTCCAACCCACTGCTCAAGCTGGAGACCCTTGCAGAATGACGCAGCTCTTCCATCCTTCTTAGGGGGCGGGGTCCTACACTGACTCTGCAAAACCGCTTAGAGAGGGATGTAAAAGCGCTGTGCGAAGCGGTATATAAGTCGAAGGGCTGTTGCACATGCTATGTGGGGTGGGATGTAGGCGCCTAGTGGTGTGTGAGGATCCGACTGACGCCAGAGGGAAACGTTTACGGGGACCTGGCGTGGAAGGAGAAAGACCAGCGGGAACTTGTTGGGGAAAGGAAATGCTTCTAGGGACCACGTGGCGGGATGGGTAGAATAGGTAGGGGGTACTGCAGTGTCCTCGAGGTCAGTCACAAGTGCAAATGACCACCGAGATGCTGCGGGGACTGTAATTTTAGGATCAGGTCATAAGTAACATTTTTGCGGGTGGGATCCACCATAATGTAAAACAGTTGTTAAGACAGGGGTCCACAGCATGCCGGCAACCGGGCCGCACAAATAAGCAAAGCACATGAAGCCAGCACACACACACACACACACACACACAGTCCACGGAAAAAACCCTCTCCACGGAACCTGGTTTCTGGTGCCCCAATGTTTGGGGGGTCCCCTGTGCTAAGAGACCCGTTCTACGTCAGGGAGATGAGAAGCATTACCTGGTCTGCCGGCTGCCGTAACGTCCATCGGCCCTTCTTCCCGTTCTCCCTCCGCAGGACAAAGAGGAGCATCAGTCACGGAATCTGAAACTGGAGAGAAGCCCTTTGTGTGTTTGTGTGTATATGTGTTTGTGTGTGTGTCTTACCCAGAGGAGGAGGACTGTGGGGTTTGTGGCGCTCTCTGAGCTTGATGGATTTCTTGCAAACGTTTCATGACCCAACTAGGGAACGTCATCAGTGCTAGAAGGGAGGGGGGTTGCAGAGAGGAGGAGGAGGAGGAGGAAGAGGAGAAGAGGAGGAGGAGGAGGAGGAGGAGGAGGAGGAGGAGGAGGAGGACGACTGTGGGGTCTGTGGCGCTCTCTGAGCTTGATGGATTTCTGGCAGACGTTTCCTGACCCAACTAGGGAACGTCATCGGGGCTAGTGAGGAGGAGTGCTGTTTGTGGCAGTTCCCCCCCCCCCAAATACCGGAACCCTGCTATCGTGTCCCCCCTCCAGTCCTTCTTTCCTCTAGACTGGCCAAACCCCAATTCCTGCCTCCGTTCTTCTGATGTTTCAGCCTCCAGCCCCCGGATCCTCTTTCTTGCTCTTCAGCCCCCACCCCTTGCAAACACCAGACGGGGCCTCCTCGCTTACCCAGCGTGGCCTCGCCATCCGTCGCCGCCTGGAAGAGTGGAAAGGAGACAAGGACGTCAGAAGTGGTTCTCGCCACCCGCAGGCCTCGGCGTATCCGATAGCTTGTCCCCTTGCTGAGAAACAGCAGCCTGGTCCCTCCACCCCATTCAAGGCACTGCCCCAAAGTTGCTCCGGAGCCCCCCCCCCGCTAAGGGGGAGGGGCTGAGATGAATACAGCAACACTATATTCCTTCCGGAGTTGGAAGGGACCTTGGAGGTCTTCTAGTCCAACCCCCCCTGCCCAGGCAGGAAACCCCCCCCCCACCATTCCAGACAGATGGCTTTTCCATCATCTCTTCAAGACCACCAGCGATGCAGCACCCACCACGTCTGAAAGCACAAAATTGTTGCGCTGATGGATTGCGAAGGTTCTCCACAATTCCCCCCCTGCTCTGAAGCAGGGGCCTTCAAACTGGGGCCTTTGATGACGGGGGGGGGGGACTTCAACTCCCAGAATTCCTCAGCCGGCGTGGCCGAGCTGAGGGATTCTGGGAGTTGTCCACACACCACCAAAGGGCCCAGTTTGAATACCCCTGTCTGAAAGCCTCCCGGCTGAGGAATCCTGGGAATTGAAGTCCACCCGTCATCAAAGGGCCCAGTTGGAAGACCCCTGGGTCTGGATCCAAGCCCGCAGTTTCATCAAAATGGCCGACTGAGGAATCCTGGGAGTTGAAGTCCTCAAATCACAACAGGGCCCAGTTGGAAGACCCCTGTCTTAAAGGATCCTGGCTGAGGAATTCTGGGAGTTGAAGTCCACCCGTCATCAAAGGGCCAAGTTGGAAGACTCCTGGTCTGGATCCAAGTCCACAGTTTCCTCAAAATGGCCCACTGAGGAATCCTGGGAGTTGAAGTCCTCAAGTCATAAAAGGGCCAAGTTGGAAGACTCCTGAGAGTCTGGATCCAAGCCCGCAGTTTCATCAAAATGGCCGACTGAGGAATCCTGGGAGTTGAAGTCCACCAGTCATCAAAGGGCCAAGTTGGAAGACTCCTGAGAGTCTGGATCCAAGCCCGCAGTTTCCTCAAAATGGCCGACTGAGGAATCCTGGGAGTTGAAGTCCTCAAGTCACAACAGGGCCCAGTTGGAAGACCCCTGTCTTAAAGCATCCTGGCTGAGGAATTCTGGGAGTTGAAGTCCACCAGTCACCAAAGGGCCCAGTTGGAAGACCCCCTGCTCTGAAGGGACCCGGGAAGCGAAGAAGGGGGGGGGAGAGGGGAAGCAAATGGGGCAGAAAAGGGGGACCCCCCTTTCCTTGGGGGGGTGTTGCATGCTTTAGCACTAGAGCCTCGCTTCACACACACCCTTATTATTACAAGTGGGGGACAGGGCTGGTCTGGAGCCTGATGGGGGGGGCTGGATGCTTTCCCCACACCTCAAATTCCGCCCTGCACCGAGCAGAGGGTCTCCCCTTTCCCAAAGACCCCCCACCCCCCTTCCAGGACCCTTTCCCAGACCTACCGGTGGCTGCGTCGACTCATCGCTCATTCCTGGCTGTTCTTGGGGGGCTTCCATCTGCCCCGGACTGTGGGGAAGGAAGGAGAGAGAGAGAGAAGATGGGGGAGACCCCCATTTTGAGGCGAGGGCTTGGGGGGGGTCTACTCTGGCCAAGGCCCCTTTGCGGGGGGGGGAAGAGAGAAAGAGGGGGATCCAACGGGAGGGCTCGCCCCCCCCCCCGCCTCGAGTGGAAAAGGTGAATACTAATACTAATAAAGTTGAAAGGGACCTTGGAGGTCATCAAGTCCGACCCCCTGCTCCCCGCCCACATGCGCGCACGCACACACACACACACACACACACACACACACACGTGAGATCTGTGTGGGGAGCAGGGGGGGCAGGCTGTGCCCCTCCCTCCGCTTTCAAGAGACCCCCATGCCCCCTCCCCCACCGGGACCCTCTGCATCACCCTGTAAGGGGGGGCACTTCCACCCCTCCCCCCACCCCCCCAGCCGGATTCTGCCACCGGGTCCGCAACGGGGGGGGGTCGCCAAATCCGGGCACGTCTCCTTTGCTCGGGGTGCCCCACACGGGACCCCCTATTTGGGGAGGGGGGCGCTCCCTTTCCCCCCTCCCCCGCCCGGGGAGACCAGAGGGAGGGGGGTCGGGGGGAGGCAAAAGCGGGGGGGGGGCTGGAGAATCACCCTCTGCACACACACACACACACATACACACACCGCGTCCAGCCTCTCCTGCCACGTCTACGAGAAGGAAAAAGGAAGGGAGACCAACCCCCCGACTTGCGCCCCTCTTGCGCGGATCCCGGGAGGCGTTTTGTGCCTCGGGATTCGGGGGAGATCCAGGGAGGGGCTCGCCCCTCCTCAACTGCGCTGCTGCGGAAGGACCCCCTGAGTCGCCTCCTCTCCCCCCCTTCCCACCTGCGCTTCTCCTTGGGCGGACCCCCCCTCTCCCCCTCCCCACCTAAGACCCCCTGGGGCCGCCCCCCTGCCCACCTGCGCTGCTGTGGAAGGACCCCCTGAGTCTCCTTCGCCCCCTCCCCATCTGCGCTGCGGAGGAAGACCCCCCCCGAGCCTCCTCTCGCCCCCTCCCCACCTGCGCCTCTCCCTGGGCGGACCCCCCCCTCTCCCCCTCCCCACCTAAGACCCCCTGGGGCTTCCTCCGCCCCCTTGCCCCCCTGCGCTGCTGCGGAAGGACCCCCAGCAGCCACTCCTGGCCCCCTCCCCACCTGCGCGTCTTCCCGGGCGGACCCCCGTCTCCCCTTCCTCCCCGAAGCCCCCCTGGGGCCTCCGCAGCCCCTTCCCCACCTGCACTGCTGAGGAAGCCCCCCCCCGGAACCTCCGCAGGCCCCCTCCCCACCTGCGCCTCTCTCTGGGCGGATTCCCCCTCTCCCCCTCCCCACCTAAGACCCCCTGGGGACTCCGCAGCCCCGCTCCCCACCCGCGCTGCCTTGGAAGGACCACCTGTCTCCTCCGCCCCCCTCCCCACCTCCGCTGCGGAGGAACACCCACCCCCCCCAGCGTCCTCTCGCCCCTGCCCACCTGCGCTGCTGTGGAAAGACCCCCGGGAGCCTCCGCAGGCCCCCTCCCCACCTGCGCCTCTCCCTGGGCGGATTCCCCCTCTCCCCCTCCCCACCTGGGGCCTCCGCAGCCCCCTCCCCACCTGCGCTGCTTTGGAAGGACCACCTGTCTCCTCCGCCCCCCCCTCCCCAACTGCGCTGCGGAGGAAGACCCTCCCCCGAGCCTCCTCTCGCCCCCTCCCCACCTGCGCCTCTCCCTGGGCGGACCCCCCCGTCCCCCTCCCCACCTAAAACCCCCTGGGGCCTCCGCAGCCCCCCCCCTGCCCCCCTGCGCTGCTGCGGAAGGACCCCCGTGAGCCTCCCCACCCACCCACCCACACCTGCGTCACTGCGGGGACACCTGCGCGCGATCGCCGCCTCGCTCTGGATCTCCCCGCGCCTTGCAGGATCAGCAGCTCCTGCGGCCGCGGAGCCGCCCCGCTGCCTTTTGCTCGGCCGGGGAAGGGCGGGCAGCGCCGGGGGGGAGGGAATGGCCTTGGCCCGGGCCCGCCCCTCTCGGGAGAAGTGGGATTCGAGCCCTGTTCGAGATGCGGGGCGGTCTGCTGCTCGGGCCGGGCCGGGGTGGGGTGGAGTGGGGGTGGGGGGGGTGGGACGAGATGATCTCCGCGGTCCCTCCCAACTCCGTCGAGCGGTCTAATTCTGTCACTGTCTCCTGCCGGAGCAGAGGGTGGGACTAGATGACCTCCGAGGACCCTCCCGCCTCTGTCCTTCTGTGATTCTGTAAGGGTCTCTTGTTTGAGCAGGGGGTTGGACTAGATGACCTCCGAGGTCCCTTCTGACTCTGTGATGCTGTAAGGATCTCCTACTCGAGCAGGGGGTTGGACTAGATGACCTCCGCGCTCCCTTCTGACTCTGTGATTCTGTAAGGGTCTCCTGCTCGAGCGGGGTGGGGGGGGGGTTGGACTAGATGACCTCTGAGGTCCCTTCCATCATTCTGTAATTTCTGTCAGGGCCTCCTGCTGGAGCAGAGGGTGGGACTAGATGATCTCCGTGCGCCCTTCCGCCTCTGTCCTTCTGTAAGGGGTCTCCTGCTCGAGCGGGGTTGGGGGGGGTTGGACTAGATGACCTCCGAGGTCCCTTCCGTCACTCTGTAATTTCTGTCAGGGCCTCCCGCTGGAGCAGAGGGTGGGACTAGATGACCTCCGCGCGCCCTTCCGCCTCTGTCCTTCTGTAAGGGGTCTCCTGCTCGAGCGGGGTGGGGGGGGTTGGACTAGATGATCTCCGAGGTCCCTTCCGTCACTCTGTAATTTCTGTCAGGCTCTCCTGCTGGAGCAGAGGGTGGGATTAGATGACCTCCAAGGCCCCTTCTGCCTCTGTCCTTCTGTCCTTCTGTAACGGGTCTGCTGCTGCAGCAGGGGGTTGGACTAGATGACCTCCGAGGCCCCTCCCACCTCTGTCCTGTGATTCTGTAAGGGGTCTGCTGCTGCAGCAGGGGGTTGGACTAGATGACCTCCGAGGTCCCTTCCGCCTCGGTGATGCTGTATGGATCCCCTACTCGAGCAGGGGGTTGGACTAGATGACCTCCGAGGTCCCTTCCCACTGTGTCATTCTGTAATGCTGTAAGCAGGGGGGTTGGGAGGAGAAGATCTCCACGGCCCCTTCCAGCTGTGACGTGTTCTTCGGTAGGGGTCTCCCGCTCGCGCGGGGGTGGGGGGTGGGGGTGGGACTGGATGACCTCCCGTTTCCCTTCCAGCTCTACCCGGATTCTAAAGCATTTGATACGGTAGATCCCCAACCGTTCGGAGAAGGCGAACCCAAGCCTTAGGAATCTGGAGATTCCAGCGTGGAATGTGTGAATCCGGGGTCCCAGGTAACCCCACCAGCCCTAGAAGAGGTCCTGGACCCCCCCACCCACCCTCCCCTCCCAGAAGGCTGGGAACGATGGACCTTCCTAAACAGGTGAGCACTTCCTGATATCCCAGGTACAAACAGGGCCATAAAATGCAGGCGCGCCTCGGACTTTGTCCCGGCTCAGCCAGGGACCGGGCGCGTCTCTCCACCTGTCACCTGTGCCTCGGTTTCCCTTCTGTAGCTTATCAAAGATGAAACCTGGCGATTGCTCCAAAGTGGATTGGCGTGTGGCCAGCAGGGGAGGGAGGGGGTGTCCTTGGTTCCTCCTGATCTTTGCCTCGCGTGAAGGCGGTGCAGAGCGCCTGGTTCCTGCTTTGTCGATTCAGAAGAGGCCCAACAGCCATTTGTCACAAATGGGATAGGTTCTCCTGCTTGAGCAGGGGGGGCTGGACTAGAAGACCTCCGAGGTCCCTTTCTATTCTATTCTATTCTATTCTATTCTATTCTACTCTATTCTATTCTACTCTACTCTACTCTATTCTATATTTCTATTCTAATTCTATTCCATATTCTAGTCTAGTCTATTCTGTATTTTTATTCTAATTCTATTCCATTCGATTCCGTTCTATATTCCATTCCATATTCTATTCTATTCTATTCTGTATTTTTATTCTAATTCCATTCTATATTCTATTCCATTCTATATTCTATTCCACATTCTAGTCTATATTTTTATTCTATTTTATTCCATTCTATTCTATATTCTATTCCATATTCTATTCTATTCTATTCTATTCTGTTCTGTATTTTTATTCTAATTCTATTCTATTCCATTCTATATCCTATTCCATATTCTATTCTAGTCTGTATTTTTATTCTAATTCTATTCTATTCCATTCCATTCTATATTCTATTCCATATTCTATTCTATTCCCATTCTATTCCATTCCATTCCACATTTTCTATTCTATTCTATTCTATTCTATTCTATTCTATTCTATTCTATTCTATTCTATTCTATTCTATTCTATTCTATTCTGTATTTTTATTCTAATTCTATTCTATTCCATTCTATTCTATATTCTATTCCATATTCTATTCTATTGTATTCTATTCTGTATTTTTATTCTAATTCTATTCTATTCCATTCCATTCTATATTCTATTCCATATTCTATTCTAGTCTGTATTTTTATTCTAATTCTATTCTATTCCATTACATTCTATATTGTATTCCATATTCTATTCTATTCTAGTCTGTATTTTTATTCTAATTCTATTCTATTCCATTCTATATCCTATTCCATATTCTATTCTATTCTAGTCTGTATTTTTATTCTAATTCTATTCCATTCCATTCCATTCTATATTGTATTCCATATTCTATTCTATTCTATTCTGTTCTGTTCTTTCTTAATCTTAATTCTATTCTATTCTAGCCTATATTCTATTCTATTCCATTCCATTCCATTCTATGTGTGGGACCGCCGTGGAATAAGCCTTGCTACCAAGCTTAAAGTTTACCAGGCAGCAGTGCTAACTACCCTGTTGTATGCTAGTGAGACCTGGACAGTGTACAGGAGGCACGGTAGGCAACTGAACTCCTTCCACGTGACTGTTTTTTCGTAGAATTCTGAGGATCCGGTGGCAGGATAAGATCCCAGACACAGATGTCCTCTCCAGAGCAGGCCTATCGCCAGTTTACACTCTGGGTTTTTTTTTTTTTTTCTGGTTTAAAAGGGGCCTCTTTATTTTTTTTTATTAAAAAAAATTATTTTCAATTTTACGTTGCATTCATAAAAAAATACTTCAGATAAAGAGTAAAATAAATTTATACACACCACTTTCGGTATTGCTCACCCGTCTCCCCCCAAACCGCATCCTCCCTCTGCCCTCTTCTCTCACTTCCCTCTTCCTCCCTCTTCTTCCTCACTCTCCCCCTCTCCTCCTCCTCCTCCTCCACCTTCCTACTTGCTTCTCCCCTTCCTCCTATCTTCTCCCTCCGGATGCGGTCCAGGGGAAATGCCGGAGCAATTCCTCTCTCCAAATTAAGACATCAATATTATATACAATAAAACTATTTCTACTTATCTGAGCTGTTTAACCTTCAACCCATCCTCCCCCCCCTTTCCCCCCCACTTCCCAGAGCCAAGTACAGGATTATACAAACTTATTACACATAATCTATTTAACTTTACTAATTATATAATACCCATTCCATTCTATATTCTATTCCATATTCTATTCTATTCTATTCTATTCTATTCTATTCTGTATTTTTATTCTAATTCTATTCTATTCCATTCTATATCCTATTCCATATTCTATTCTAGTCTGTATTTTTTTTCTAATTCTATCCTATTCCATTCCATTCTATATTCTATTCCATATTCTATTCTATTCCTATTCTATTCTATTCTATTCTGTATTTTTATTCTAATTCTATTCTATTCCATTCTATATCCTATTCCATATTCTATTCTATTCTAGTCTGTATTTTTATTCTAATTCTATTCTATTCTATTCCATTCTATATTCTATTCCATATTCTATTCTATTCCTATTCCTATTCTATTCTATTCTATTCTATTCTATTCTATTCTATTCTATTCTGTATTTTTATTCTAATTCTATTCTATTCCATTCTATATCCTATTCCATATTCTATTCTATTCTAGTCTGTATTTTTATTCTAATTCTATTCTATTCTATTCCATTCTATATTCTATTCCATATTCTATTCTATTCCTATTCCTATTCTATTCTATTCTATTCTATTCTATTCTATTCTATTCTATTCTGTATTTTTATTCTAATTCTATTCTATTCCATTCTATATCCTATTCCATATTCTATTCTATTCTAGTCTGTATTTTTATTCTAATTCTATTCTATTCCATTCTATATTCTATTCCATATTCTATTCTATTCCTATTCTATTCTATTCTATTCTATTCTATTCTACTCTATTCCAGTCCATATTTTCTATTCTATTCTAGTCTATTCTAGTCTAGTCTAGTCTAGTCTAGTCCAGTATGTATTTTTATTCTAATTCTATTCTATTCCATTCTATATTCCAATATCTATTCTATTCTATTCTATTCTATTCTATTCTATTTATTCTATTCTATTCTTTATTCTATTCTTCACTATCCTATTCTGTTTTCTCTCATTCTCTCTATACTTAGTATAGAAAAAACTCTGCTTGCGCAGGGGGTTGGACTAGAAGACCTCAAAGGTCCCTTCCAGCTCCTATTCTAGTCTAGTCTAGTCTAGTCTAGTCTAATCTAATCTATAATCTATTTATTCTATTTTAATTCTATTCCTATTCTTTTTCTATTCTGTTCCTATTTTATTCTTTTCATATTCTATTTTATTCTAATCAATTCTATACTCCATTCTATTTCTATTCTGTTCTATTTCTATTCTATTCTATTCCTATTCTTATTGTATTCTATTCCTATTTTATTCTTTCTCCTAGTCCATTCCGTTCCATTCTATTCTATTTTTTCCATTCCATTCCGTTCCGTTCCATTCCATTCTATTCTATTTTGTTCCAGTTTCTATTCTGTTCTATTCCCTATTTTCTATTTCTATTCCTAATTCTAATTCTATTCTATGTTCTATTCTACTCCAGTTTCTATTCTATTCTACTCTATATTCCATTCCGTTCCGTTCCATTCCATTCCATTCCATTCCATTCTATTCTATTCTATTCTATTCTATTCTATTCTATTCTATTCTATTCTATTTTCCATTCGATTCCATATTCTATTCTATTCCATTCCATTCCGTTCCATTCTATTTTCTCCATTCCATTCCACTGCATTCTATTCTGGAAAAAACAGAATTCCTTGGGTCGGGAAGGGGCAGAGGAAGAGGGGGGAGACCAAAGAGGAGCCCCAGGAGTTTCCAGGAATCCCTCTCCTTTCTCTGGCTGCTAATGGGGCCGGAAGGAGAGGGGGGGGGGGCGAGGAGGCTCCGCCCACCCTGCAGGACCCGCCCAGAGGACGACGACTTTCGTGCCCGGCCCTCCGCGGAGGGGCAGAAGCGGAGCGCGGCCCGTCGGTGGAGCCGGGAGAGCGGCGGCGGATCCCACCCACCCAGCCACCCATCAGCCGCTCCTCGGAGGAGGGTCCCAGGTGGGTCTCCGCACGGCCGCCCCTCCCCTGGGCTAGAAAACGGGCGGGGGGCGCCTGTCCCCCCCCCCCCCGCCGCCCTTGCGACTTGGGACCTGGAAGCACCGCGGGGGGTTAAGGGACCTCGGAGGTCCTCTAGTCCAGCCCCCTGCCCGAGCAGGAGAGCCTTAACGGAATCGTAGCGGGACAGAGCGGGGAGGGACCTGGGAGGCCATCTAGTCCAGCCCCCTGCTCAGACAGGAGACCCTTACCGAGTCATAGAGCGGGGAGGGACCTCGGAGGTCATCTAGTCCAGCCCCCTGCCTGAGCAGGAGAGCCTTACAGAAGCGTAGCATAACAGAGCGGGAAGGGATCTTGGAGGCCATCTAGTCCAGCCCCTCTGCTCAGGCAGGAGACCCTTACGGAATCAGAGTGGGGAGGGGCCTTGGAGGCCATCTAGTCCATCCCCCTGCTCAGACAGGAGACCCTTACAGAGTCATAGAGCTGGAAGGGACCTTGTGGTCATCTAGTCGAGCCCCCTGCGCGGGCAGGACAGTCTTAACAGAGTCATAGAGCTGGAAGGGACCTTGGTGGTCATCTAGTCCAGCCCCCTGCCTGAGCAGGAGAGCCTTACAGAATCATGGCATACTAGACTGGGGAGGGAGCTCGGAGGCCATCTAGTCCATTCCCCCTGCTCAGACAGGAGACCCTTACAGAGTCATAGAGCTGGAATGGACCTTGGAGGTCATCTAGTCCAGCCCCCTGCGCGAACAGGAGAGCCTTACAGAATCATGGCATAATAGAGTGGGGAGGGACCTCGGAGGCCATCTAGTCCATTCCCCCTGCTCAGGCAGGAGACCGTTACAGAGTCATAGAGCTGGAAGGGATCTTGGAGGTCATCTAGTCCCCTGCTGGAGCAGGAGACCCTTACGGAATCGTGGCAAGACAGAGGCCAGCTAGTCCAGCCCCCCTGCTCCAGCAGGAGACCCTTCCAGGAATTATACAAGCCAATTATTATTGATTATTTGTAAATACAAATACAAACCCGGACGACACGCTGTTTGCCAAATATTGATGGCGACACGTGAAAAAAAAAAAATAAATGAAACGTATTTTTTTTAAAAAAAGAGAGAGAGAGAGAGAGAGGGATTCAATCGAGATCGCGCGAGGCACTAACACAGTGGTTCTCAACCTATGGGTCGCGACCCCATTCGGGGTCGATCGACCATTTCACGGGGGTCGCCAAGAAAGGCTGTCCGCCATTTTTTACCCCCTTTTCCGGCGGGTGGCCCAGCTGGTGGTCGGCCTGCTCCGTCTCTGCCGCTTGCCAGCTACACCTCGGCCGGCGCAGGGGGCGGCACCATGCAGGCGCGGCGTAAGTCCTCGGCTTACGACCGGTTGTGTAGTCCTCGACTCACGACGGGTTTAGTCCTCGACTTATGACTGGTTAGGGGTCGCGGCATTAAAAAGGTTGAGAACCACTGCACTAACACCACTCCATAAAGCCTTAGTAAGGCCACACCTGGAATAGCGCAACCAATTTTGGTCGGCACACTATAAAAAAAGATGTTGAGATTCTAGGGAAAAAGTGCAGAGAAGAGCAACGAAGATGATCGGGGGACCATGAGGCTAAAAACTGGGCACAGCCAGTCTAGGGGAGAGAAGGACCAGGGGGGACACGATAGCCGATGTCTTCTGATATCTGACGGGCTGTCCCAGAGAGGAAGGGGGTCCCACCTCCTTTCCAAAGCCCCTGAAGGCAGGACAAGAAGCAACGGGTGGAAACTGATCAAGGAGAGAAGCAACCTGGAAATAAGGAGGCACTTCCCGACAGTGAGGACAGTCAACCAGCGGAACAGGAGTAGCCTTCAGACGTTGCGTGGGGGGCTTGGTGAAGAGTCTGGACAGCCACCGGTCAGACATGGTGTAGTAGGGTCTCCTGCTTGAGCAGGGGGTTGGACTAGAGGACCTCCGGGGGTCCCTTTCCGACTCTGTCCTTCTGCGATTCTGTCAGGGTCTCCTGCTTGAGCGGGGGTTGGACTAGAGGACCTCTGGGGGTCCTTCCGACTCTGTCCCCTTCTGCGATTCTGTCAGGGTCTCCTGCTTGAGCGGGGGGTTGGACTAGAGGACCTCTGGGGGTCCCTTCCGACTCTGTCCTTCTGCGATTCTGTCAGGGTCTCCTGCTTGAGCGGGGGGTTGGACTAGAGGACCTCAGGAGGTCCCTTCTGACTCTGTCCTTCTGCGATTCTGTCAGGGTCTCCTGCTTGAGCAGGGGGTTGGACTAGAGGACCTCTGGGGGTCCCTTCCGACTCTGTCCTTCTGCGATTCTGTCAGGGTCTCCTGCTTGAGCGGGGGGTTGGACTAGAGGACCTCAGGAGGTCCCTTCTGACTGTCCTTCTGTAAGGGTCTCCTGCTTGAGCAGGGGGTTGGACTAGAGGACCTCTGGGGGTCCCTTCCGACTCTGTCCTTCTGCGATTCTGTCAGGGTCTCCTGCTTGAGCGGGGGGTTGGACTAGAGGACCTCAGGAGGTCCCTTCTGACTGTCCTTCTGTAAGGGTCTCCTGCTTGAGCAGGGGGTTGGACTAGAGGACCTCTGGGGGTCCCTTCCAACTCTGTCCTTCTGCGATTCTGTCAGGGTCTCCTGCTTGAGCAGGGAGTTGGACTAGAGGACCTCGAGAGGTCCCTTCTGTCCTTCTGTAAGGGTCTCCTGCTTGAGCAGGGGGTTGGACTAGAGGACCTCCGGGGGTCCCGACTCTGTCCTCCTGTCAGGGTCTCCTGCTTGAGCAGGGGGTTGGACTAGAGGACCTCTGGGGGTCCCTTCCAACTCTGTCCTTCTGCGATTCTGTCAGGGTCTCCTGCTTGAGCAGGGAGTTGGACTAGAGGACCTCGAGAGGTCCCTTCTGTCCTTCTGTAAGGGTCTCCTGCTTGAGCAGGGGGTTGGACTAGAGGACCTCCGGGGGGTCCCTTCTGACTGTCCTTTTGTGATTCTGTCAGGGTCTCCTGATTGAGCAGGGGGTTGGACTAGAGGACCATCGGGGTCCCTTCAGACTCTGTCCTTCTGTCAAGGTCACCTGCTTGAGCAGGGGGTTGGACTAGAGGACCTCCGGGGGTCCCGACTCTGTCCTCCTGTCAGGGTCTCCTGCTTGAGCAGGGGGTTGGACTAGAGGACCTCTGGGGGTCCCTTCCGACTCTGTCCTTCTGCGATTCTGTCAGGGTCTCCTGCTTGAGCGGGGGGTTGGACTAGAGGACCTCTGGGGGTCCCTTCCGACTCTGTCCTTCTGCGATTCTGTCAGGGTCTCCTGCTTGAGCGGGGGGTTGGACTAGAGGACCTCTGGGGGTCCCTTCCGACTCTGTCCTTCTGCGATTCTGTCAGGGTCTCCTGCTTGAGCAGGGGGTTGGACTAGAGGACCTCTGGGGGTCCCTTCCGACTCTGTCCTTCTGCGATTCTGTCAGGGTCTCCTGCTTGAGCGGGGGGTTGGACTAGAGGACCTCAGGAGGTCCCTTCTGACTGTCCTTCTGTAAGGGTCTCCTGCTTGAGCAGGGGGTTGGACTAGAGGACCTCTGGGGGTCCCTTCCGACTCTGTCCTTCTGCGATTCTGTCAGGGTCTCCTGCTTGAGCGGGGGGTTGGACTAGAGGACCTCAGGAGGTCCCTTCTGACTGTCCTTCTGTAAGGGTCTCCTGCTTGAGCAGGGGGTTGGACTAGAGGACCTCTGGGGGTCCCTTCCAACTCTGTCCTTCTGCGATTCTGTCAGGGTCTCCTGCTTGAGCAGGGAGTTGGACTAGAGGACCTCGAGAGGTCCCTTCTGTCCTTCTGTAAGGGTCTCCTGCTTGAGCAGGGGGTTGGACTAGAGGACCTCCGGGGGTCCCGACTCTGTCCTCCTGTCAGGGTCTCCTGCTTGAGCAGGGGGTTGGACTAGAGGACCTCTGGGGGTCCCTTCCAACTCTGTCCTTCTGCGATTCTGTCAGGGTCTCCTGCTTGAGCAGGGAGTTGGACTAGAGGACCTCGAGAGGTCCCTTCTGTCCTTCTGTAAGGGTCTCCTGCTTGAGCAGGGGGTTGGACTAGAGGACCTCCGGGGGGGTCCCTTCTGACTGTCCTTTTGTGATTCTGTCAGGGTCTCCTGATTGAGCAGGGGGTTGGACTAGAGGACCATCGGGGTCCCTTCAGACTCTGTCCTTCTGTCAAGGTCACCTGCTTGAGCAGGGGGTTGGACTAGAGGACCTCCGGGGGTCCCGACTCTGTCCTCCTGTCAGGGTCTCCTGCTTGAGCAGGGGGTTGGACTAGAGGACCTCCGGGGTTCCCTTCCGACTCTGTCCTTTTGCGATTCTGTAAGGGTCTCCTGCTTGAGCAGGGGGTTGGACTAGAAGACCTCAGGAGGTCCCTTCTGTCCTTCTGTAAGGGTCTCCTGGTTGAGCAGGGGGTTGGACTAGAGGACCTCCAGGGGTCCCTTCCGACTGGCTTTCGATTGATTGGTTGAGGCAGGCTGGACCTGCAGTGGGATCGTCTGAAGGCTCGGGGGGGGGGAACATGTTTGGGGATCCATTCCCGCTTTTCCCGAAGCCCCCAAAGTGCGTGGGGAGGGGGGAGAGGGATCAGGGTGAGTCTGCCTCAAGATCTGTGGGGGGGGTGCTTTTAACCCCCCCCCCCCCCGCTCTCCAATTCCTGCCTGTGACTTCTGGAGGAAGGGGCGCTCCTGTCAATCTCCTGCAGCTGATTCTGTTTGCTTTTCCTGCAGGCAGCTCGAGATTTCTCCCCCCCCCCCCGGAATCTTCTGGAAATGGCTGGAAACATCCAACGTAATGAAGGTAATGTCTTTGGGCTCCTGGCGGCGGGGTTGGCTGGGATTGGCCGACGCTCTCCTGGCTGGTCGGGAAACCATCCGTAATGGCTGCACGCTGTTGACCAGGATCCACTTCTTCTCTCCTCTCTCCTCCCCCTCGATTGGGTGGCAGAGCCTGAGCGGAGGATCGTCCTGGTGGGTAAAACCGGGAACGGGAAAAGCGCGACGGGAAACGCCATCCTGGGAAGCAAAGCCTTTTACGCGGCGGCGTCGCCGAGGTCCGTCACTGTGCATTGCACAAAGAAGGAGACGTCGTTGAACGGCCGTAAGATTGTGGTGGTCGACACGCCGGGCTTTTTCGACACCAAGGTTCCGCTGCACGAAACGGCGGAGGAAGTGAAGAAGTGTGTGGAGTTGTGCGCCCCGGGCCCGCACGTCATCGTGCAGGTGATTCGTCCAGGCCGCTTCTCCCAGGAGGAGAAGGACGTGGCTGAGCTGATCAAGGAGATCTTCAGCCTCAAGGCCAAGCATTACATGATCCTCTTGTTCTCCCGGAAAGAGGACCTGGAAGAGAAAACTCTGGAGCAATTCCTGTCCGAGGATGATTCCTCTCTTCGGGATCAAGTCTCCGAATGCGGGTTCCGGATCCTGGCTTTCAACAACAAGGCCGAAGGGAAAGAACGCGAGGCCCAGGTGGCCCAGCTGATGCGCATGATTGATGAGCTGGTGTTCGTGAACCGCGAAGCTCCGTGTTACACGGAAGACATGATGAAGAAAGATGAAGAAGAGTATAAGAAAAAGAAGAAACGCTGGTGTTCTCTTCTCTAACAGACACCCCAAAACCTTTCGACTTGATCCTCTGCTCCAAGGAGGCAGCTCTCCCACAGGCCACAACCCTGCATTTCCCCCTTTTCTTCCGTTCTAATCCAGCTCTCGCCGGGAGACCTCCGAAGAACCCGAGTCGTGGCGGAATCACCCCAAGCCACTTCCTTCTCCCGAGAAGCCGATTTCTCCCCCCAGGATGACGGACTTTCTTCAATAACCAGCCCCCACACCCGTATCTGCTGCCTCCACAGCCTCATTCTCTACCAGCTTGGACCCCTTGGAAAGACACTCTCTTTCGGGCTTCCCGTCTCTCAATCCTTCGAGGGAGACCAGGCCAGGAAACCACCAACACAAGAAATATTAGAACGCGACTTTCTTGGTATAAATGACAGTAACATCTGCCCTTTACTTCCGCCGGCACCAAAGAACATCAAGGCAAGTCAGCCTTGAGCTTCTTTCTCACCCGTTCCTGTTTTCCTGAGCTGAATTCATGTTTTCCTAACAGCCGCTACATGGTTTCTTTGGGACTTCCCCATCTGTCAATCCTTCAAGGCCGAGAAACCACCAACACAAGAAGTAGTAGATTTTGTCAGTACCGATTACAGTAGCAGAATCTTGAAAGCGTCTCCCCTTCGCTCCCACGGGCACCAAGGCGCATCAAGGCAGGGCAGCCTTGAAGTTCTTGCTCACCCATTCCTGTTTTCCCGGGGTGAATTCATGTTTTCCCAACAGCTGCCACCTGTTTCCTGCAAGGCCGTCTCTATACTCTTCCACGCTGCTTTCCGGAGGCGAGTGTGGATGCGCGAGGGAGGTCCTGTGTGTTCTTCTTATGAAAACCTTATTAAATCTCCTGACTTAGGAATGAAGGCCGTGTGTTTTGTAACTTTCTCTGTAAGAAAGTTATTTTGTACCTGATTGGTAGAATAAGAAGCATACTAATAAGAGACAGTATATATATATTGAGCCATTGAGATAGAAAAACGCCCACACAGCATGAATAAACGAGATGATACCTCCCGCCTACCAGCCATTTGGAAACCCGCCCTTATTGGTAAACGAGTCCCTAACACAAAGAATGACACCAGACCCACACTCACGAAAACCACACAGGATGTCACCACCACACATCCACGCAAAAAGCAAACCCAGACCCACACCGATGATGAGGCACAACCACAAACCAGAAGCCAGACCACAGCTGCACCATTAGCCACTTTAAACCCCTCCAATCCATACATGAAGCAAACTGACACCCACCATGAAGATGAGGCATGACCACAAACAGGAAGCCAAACAACAGCAACGCAGCTCACCATCTTACAACTCCCTGCAAGTCAGACTAACTTGAGCACAACAAAGCCCCCACCCAAACAGAACACTGCCCCATCCAATCAGAGCACAGCCAATCCCCCATCCAATCAGAGCACAGCCAAGCTCCTAACCAATCAGAACACACCTCCACCCAATCAGAACACAGCCAAGCTCTCACCCAATCAGTTCATACCCCCACTGGCAGTTAAAAGGAAGAAACAGCTACAATCACACATTGCTCCTAGAAGCACGAAGCCGAAAACACCAGCCTGAAGATGACGAATGAGATTTCGTCGAAACGTCGCCAAGACACTTCCAATTTGACGCCCAGCTCCTAGATCTCGTCACGGGTCCTAACAGCGTCTCACCTATAGATGATCTCCCCCATTGACTAGAATGTACCCTGACAATGTTGGCAGCTGCCAACGAAAGCTTGGTATTTTATTGAATTTAAACTTTTATAGTTTTGTAATTTTCCTGGTGCTCATGCTTTTTAGCTATTTGAAATGAATATTGGCTGAAATATTGGCTGAAATAGTTGGAGACGTGTGTTAGTACTATCTTTTATGTAACTGAATTACGGTAACTCCACCGCCGTAATTGTAACATTAGAAAATTAATAAAAAGTTAAAAGAAAAAAGAAAAAGAATTGCATTTGCCTAGTGCGGGGAAACAGGAAGTCCCGGAAGGAGAGAGGACACATTTGACGGCGTAATATTGGATCTAGATGGAAGAAGTTAATATATACCCCTGAATCACTAACGGGCCCAGACAACACATTGTCTACTAAATACTTGACTGTCAAACTAGAAAGTGAATAAAATATTTATAAAAACAAAACAAAAAAAACCCCCTCCTTTGAAAGATGGGGAGCAAATGAGTGCCATCTAGCCCCCCCCCTGTGATGTTTGAGACCCCCAATCTCAGCTAGTTGCAAGGCCCAACTGAGCCGAGGGCCCCAGGAACCTTCTGGGGCCACCCACAGCTCTTTTGGGGTCCCCGATCCTAGTGGGCTTTGAATCCCCCCATACAGGTCTGTCTCTGGGGGTAAGAACCAAAGTGTGTATGTGGGGGGGGGTGAGCCAGCTCCGAGAAGACCCCCCGCCATCAGTATTAATGCCACTCTACAATGCTTTGGTAAGGCCACGCTTGGAATACGGCATCCAGTTTTGGTCACCACGATGTCAGAAAGATGTTGAGACTCTAGAAAGAGTACAGAGAAGAGCAACAAAGATGATTAGAGGACTGGAGGCTAAAACATATAAGGAACGGTTGCGAGAATTGGGTATGTCTAGTTTAACGAAGAGAAGGACGAGGGGGGACATGATAGCAGTATTCCAATATCTCAGGGGCTGCCCCAAAGAAGAGGGAGTCAAGCCGTTCTCCAAAGCCCCTGAAGGCAGGACAAGAAGCAACGGGTGGAAACTAACCAAGGAGAGAAGCAACCTAGAACTAAGGAGAAACTTCCTGACAGTGAGAACAATTAACCAGTGGAACTGCCTGCCTCCAGAAGCGGTAAATGCTCCAACACTGGAAGTTTTGAAGAAGAGACTGGACAGCCGTTTGTCCGAAATGGTGTGGGGTTTCCTGCCTGAGCAGGGGGTTGGACTAGATGACCTCCAAGGTCCCTTCCAACTTTACTACTATTATTATTATTATTATTGATCATCGCACAGTCAGCCAGATGTTCAGACTGGATTTGGCATTTTGTCTACCTATGGAGTCCTTACCCAGGACCTGGGATAGGCAGATGTGGATGTTTGATGGTATTACAGGTATCGTCGCAGGATGGAAGCAGTTCCTAATAAGGCCGCCTTTATTATTATTATTATTATTATTATTATTATTATTATTATTATTATACTTGGCCAGGCCAGCAGCATCGCCTAGCGGTTGGTGCATATGGTGACCGTGTCCGTTATCCGTGGCCAGTCACCGAGGGGGGGGCTTCAGATAGGTCCCCCCCAGCCCCAGGCGCATCAGACTTCTGGGCCACAGGGTCCCCTCTGATGAGATACTGGCAGAGTCTCTTGAGGACTACTGACTTGGATCTGCAGAACGTTGGGGCCAGAGACCTCCCCCTCCCTCCAAACAGGAACAGAAGGGGACCCTAGAGGTCTTCTAGCCCAGCCCCCGGCTCAGGCAGGAGACCCTCCCCTCTTTCAGACAAATGGCTGTCCGATCTCTTCTTAAAGTCCTCCGGTGATAGCGCACCCACAGCTTCTGGTGGCAGGCCGTTCCACGGATTCCTGACCGAAAGGGGGCCCCCAAATCATCCGGTCACAACCTATTCCACAACGTTCTCTAAGAACGGGAGGTTGGGAGCGGGAGGGGAAAAAAAACCGGCAATGTTCCTTGGTGCTGGTTGGTGGGGGGGGGGGCAGACCAGGGCTTATTAAACAGCCCCTGTCCCGCCAGAATGCACTTTTGCAGAAGCCACATGACCGACGGACTCTGGAGTGTACTTTAGGGCGGTGGAAAAGAAGGAGATAAAACAGGTGGGAAACCTTTGGCGTTAACTGTCACGCGATGCAAAGATTAGGAGAAAAGACAAAGGAGAGTCTGGACCATGACCCCTCCCTCTCCTGCTGGGCCCACGCGAAGCAGTTCCGAGAAATCACAAGGTTTAATGTTTTAAGGAGCAGTCGGAAATCAGCATGCACTCGTACACACGCACAGAGAGAGAGAGAGAAAGAGAGAGAGAGAGAGAGGGAAATATTTTGGGGGATATTAAAAAGGCAGAATATTATATCCCCCCCCCCAAGGAGTAATGGAAAATCTTAGGCAGAAACCACTCCACTCCGCTCCAAGTATCTCCGCCGCCCCCCCCCCCCCAGCAGAAACCAGGTCTGTAGAAATGCAGATGTGATCATCCTTTCAGAAAGACCGGGAGCCAGGAAGCTTGGAGCTGATGGGATTAGAACGACCAAGATCCCTAGAACCAACAACCCCTCGCACCCCCCCCCAAAAAAAAACCCAACACGGGAAGTCAGCCATCAGCCCCCAGCCCCAGGGAAGCAGGATTATGGCCTTTGGGACATCATAGGATTAACCCAGAACCGTCAGAACACCAAAAGGGGGCACACTCAAAAGCCCTCGGGTCAAGGTTCACGTCACAGGAACAGGAAACAACTCCAAACACAAAAAAGCCCAAAAAGGTATTTTAAAAAAACCCACCCCTCCCGGCTACATGTGGACAGTTTTTTTTTTTTTTTTTTCCCAGAGCCATCTTTGTGTCTGGCTCTGCTTTTTTAATAAATGTCAAACCTTCTTTCTAAAGCGGTCTCCATTTTGTTTATTCCCAGCTTGGATTGGACCGATGAAGATTTTTTCTTTCTTTCTTTCAACAGAAACGAACGTGAAACCGAGGAACTGATGAGAGAGGGAGAGGCCCGCCTTGTCCCTGTGGCGCCCAGATTGAACCCGGACAAGGTCTCAGGTGCATTTTATGGCCCTGTTTATTATACCTGGGATGCAGCATGAGCTCATTTGAAGGTTCAAACTTTCCTTCCGGGAAGGTCCCGGAGCTCTTCTAGGGCTGGTGGGGCTGGTGGACAATGACCTAGGCCTTGGACCCCTCCCTCCCCCGCTGGCCACACGCCAACCAATTCTGGAGAAATCGCAAGGTTTAATGTTTGAGAAGCAACCCAAAGTGAAACCGAGGCACAGTAAATAGGTGGAAACGTGATCTATGCCTCGGTTATATACAGAGGTTCACATAACTGGATTGGATCCCTTTTTCCTTCCTATCTTCCCAGGAGCCTCGGAGAAGAAGGCCACCCTGAATAAGGAAGAGGGCCAAACCTGGCATTTGGGGGGGGCTGGGGGGCCAAAAGGGCAGCTTCTCGGAGGCCGACTGGATGCCAGTTCAAAGGAAGACCTGCACTGCTGGATGGGTCCCTCCAACTTCTCAAGTGGAAAATAAAAAATAACAGAATGAAAATGGCTTTGATTTAAAACAGTGGTTCTCAACCTGTGGGTCGCGACCCCATTTGGGGTCGAACGACCATTTCACGGGGGTCGCCAAACAACGCGATCCGCCATTTTTTTCTCAGCCGGCGCAGGGAGCGGCGCCGCGCATGCGCGCCATGCAGGGGGCGGCACCGTGCATGCGCGCCGTGCAGGGGGCAGCCCCGCGCATGCGCGCTGTGCAGGGGCGCCGCCGCGCATGCGTGCTGCGCAGGGGGCGGCACCGCGCATGCGCGCCGCCTGCTTATGACCGGGGTCGCCGGTCTAAAAAGATTGAGAACCACTGATTTAAAAGAAAAGGAAAAATGAATACACTAATGTTTACACTTCTGACAATAATTTACTAAATGTGTGCATTATATAAAATATATGTAATACAGAATGACATACTGTATATGTGGTTAACACCAATTTCCTAGTAAGATCTACCCTAATACCAGGTTCCCCTCGGTGTTTTCATTAATAAACACACTTCGTATCCTTCTGGGTAAATGTTGCATGCAATCTTTTGATTCAAGGACTGCATCATAAAAGGAGCAGACAGCATGAAAGGACTTTGCTTCTGGGATCGGGGTAGGGACACTGAGCCACAGGTGATCTGGATTCAAACCACAAGAGAGCCAGGTCCTGCCTCCCACACATGGCAGGTTCTGACCTCTGGAGTCCTAGTGGACGATCCCTTCACTGTTTAATTTTACCTCAGGATATTCCTGTATTCCTGACTGTCTTGTCTGTTCAAGCATGAGGCGATCTGCGCTGGGATTGCTTGAAGCAAATGTGAAGGGGGCGTCCCCCTTTCTTCCCCCCTTTTTTCTTCTCTGTCTTCTGCCTGCTGTTTAATTTTACCTCAGGATGTTCCTGTGTTCCTGACTGTCTTGTCTGCTCAAACATGAGGCGATCTGCGCTGGGATTGGTTGAAGCAAGTGTGAAAGAGGCGACCCCCTTTCTTCCCGCCTTTTTTTCTTCTCTGTCTTCTGCCTGCTGTTTAATTTTACCTCAGGATGTTCCTGTGTTCCTGACTGTCTTGTCTGCTCAAACATGAGGCGATCTGCGCTGGGATTGGTTGAAGCAAGTGTGAAGGAGGTGTCCCCCTTTCTTTCCGCCTTTTTTCTTATCTGTCTTCTACCTGCTGATTAATTTTACCTCAGGATGTTTCTGAATGTCTGAATGCCTTGTCTGCTCATCCATGAGGCGATCTACCAGTATCTATCTGTCTCTGCTTGCCTGCCTGCCTGCCTGCCTGCCTGCCTGCCTGCCTGCCTATCTATCTATCTATCTATCTATCTATCTATCTATCTATCTATCTATCTATCTATCTATCTATCTATCTATCTATCAGTATCTATCTACCAGTATCTACCTACTTACCTACCTGTCTGTCTACCTCTGTCTTTCTATCTATCTACGTATCTATCTACCTACCTACCTACCTATCTATCGTTTATCGGTATCTGTCTGCTTATCTATCTATCTATCTATCTATCTATCTATCTATCTATCTATCTATCTCTTTCTATGTATCTATCTACCAGTATCTACCTACCTACCTGTCTATCTGTCTTTCTATCTACCAGTATCTATCTACCTACCTACCTTCCTATCTATCGTCTATCGGTATCTGCCTGCCTGCCTGCCTGCCTGCCTGCCTGCCTGCCTGCCTGCCTGCCTGCCTGCCTGCCTGCCTGCCCTATCTATCTATCTATCTATCTATCTATCTATCTATCTATCTATCTATCTATCTATCTATCTATCTATCTATCTATCTATCTATCTATCTATCTATGCCTCCAGGGTTGCTTCCAGCCCTGTCATCCTATGATTCTGAAAGAATCTCCTGCCCGAGCAAGGGGTCTGGACTGGATGACCTCCAGGGTCCCTTCCCACACTTGTCATTCAATTCTGTTCTCTCAGCCAGGGCAGGAGACCCCCACCCCACCCCCCACCCCCAGATTTCGGCTGCGACTTTTTTCCGAGGAGGGGGTCTTCCGAGGAGAAGAAAGTTGGGGCTAGGGGAGGGGGGTCTCTGACCGGTGATGGGGTGGGGGCGCCCCTTGTAACGAGCGGGGAGAAAGCCACTGCAACCCCTAACGCTATGTGTCTGTGCGTCTTTCTGTGTCTGTGTGTGTGTTGTATATCTGTGTGGTGTGTGTGTTTTGTGTGGTGTGTGTGTGTGTTTTGTGTGTTGTGTGAGTGTTGTGTGAGTGTTGTGTGAATGTGTGGTAGTGTGTGGTGTGTGTGTTGTGTGTGTGTTTTGTGTGTGGTGTGTGTCTTTGTGTGTGGTGTGTGTGGTGTCGGTATGTTTGTGTATAAACTGAGAAAATTCTCCTCTGGCTTTTATTTAAGCCGAATGGATAAGGCGACAGAATCAATGTGTGTGTTGTGTGTGTGGTGTGTGGTGTGTGGTGTGTATGTTTGTGTGTTGTGCGTATGTTGTGTTGTGTGTGTATTGTATGTGTGTGTGGTGTGTAGGGTGTGTGTGTTGTGCGGTGTGTGTATGGTGTGTGTGTGTGTGTGTGTGTGTGTGTGTGTGTGTAAACTGAGGAAATTCTCCACTGGCTTTTATCCAAGCTGAATGGTGTGTGCGTTGTGTGTGTAGTGTGTGGTGTGTGTGTTTGTGTGGTCTGTGTGGTGTGTGTTTGTGTGGTGTGTGTGGTGTCTGTGGTGTGTGTTTGTGTGGTGTGTGTGGTGTGTGTGGTGTGTGTGTTGTGCGGTGTGTGTGTGTGTGTGTGTGTAAACTGAGGACATTCTCCTCTGGCTTTTAGAAACGGAGCCCTCCCGTTTGTCGGCACTTTCGCTTACTTTCACTTTCCCTCTCCTTGGGATGGGGGAGGGAGGGAGGGGCGTTCCCCGGCCAAGCCCTCCCTCCCTCCCTCCCTCGCCCCCGCCCGCCCGCTCGGGCCAAAGGCAGCGGGCCATCTCCGCGGCCGGAGCAGCTGCTGATCCCTTCCAGGCGGCGGGGAGATCCAGAGAGAGACATCGATCGCGCGCACCTTTTCCCCGCACCAGCGGCAGCAGCAGCAGCAGCGCAGGTGGAGAGGGGGCCGGAGGAGTCCCCAGGGGGTCTTCGGGGTGGAGGGGGGAGGCGGCGTGGGGGCCAGGGGAGGCGCCCGGGGGGTCCTTCCTCACCAGCGCAGGTGGGGAGGAGGGCGGAGGAGGCCCCAGGGGGGTCTTCGGTGGGGAGAAGGGAGGGGGTCCGCCCAGGGAGAGGCGCAGGTGGGGAGGGGGCGTAGAGGATCCTCCGGGGGTCCTTCCAGAGCAGCGCAGGTGGGGAGGGGGGCAGCGGAGGAGGCCCCGGGGAGGGTCTTCGGTGGGGAGGGGGAGAAGGGGGGTCCGCCCAGGGAGAGGCGCAGGTGGGGAGGGGGGTGGAGGATCCTCCGGGGGTCCTCTTCCTTTTCCCCTTCTCAGGGCTCCGCAGAGACCCCCTCCAGCCCCCCTCCCTTTGCCTCTGCCCCATCCCCCATCTCCCTGGGTAGGGGAGGGGGAACAGGGGGCGCCCCCCTCCCCAAATCAGGGGGTCCGTGTGGGGCGGTCCGAGCAAAGGACACCGGCCCGAACTTGCAACCCCCCCCCGACCCCCCTCCCCGGGTCACGAGGGGGCGGGAGGTGGAAGTGCCCCCCCTTTACGGGGTGATGCCGCTTTTCAGTGGGGGGCCTCTGCTTCGGGTCTCTTTGGGACCCCCCAAAAGTCCCCTGGGAGAAACCTCCTTGTGGGGGGCAAGGGGGGGTCAGGCGTTGCTAGAAAAAAAGGGCAGGAGGGGAGGGGCGGCCCTCCCGTTCCTCTCCCCCCCCCTTTGTTCAGACGTGCCCCCCCAGTTCTCCCTCGCTTTATGAAGGTTGGGGGTCCCCCCATCTTCTCTCTTCTTCCCCCCCCCACAGACTCTGGAAGCCCCCAAGCTCTCAACCGCTGGGAATCATGGACCAGGCAACGTGGCAGCCCGCCAGGGTAAGGTCTCTTGCAAGATTGTGTGTGTGTGTGTTTGTGTGTGCGTGCGCCCGTCAATGTTTCTGGGGGGGGAAGGGGAGGTGTTCTGCTTCTGTGGGGCAGGATCGGGGGCCCGGACAAGCATCCAGGGGCCGCTTTGGACCCCCATTTGCCCCCCCAAAAAAAACCAGTGCTATCTGCTTCTTGTAAGGATAGGAGGGGGCGAGGGGGATTCCACTCCTGAATTTTGCAATGTGCAACGCCCCCCAAGCCCCCTCCCACATTCCCCCCCTTGCTTGGTCCGCTCTCAGCCCTCCCCCCTTTAGCTAGGGGGGTGGGTGGGTGGGGGCTCCAGAGCAGCTTCAGAGCCATGCCTTAAATAGGGTGGGGGCTCCAGACCAGTTTCTGAGCCATGCCTTAAATAGGGTGGGGGCTCCAGACCAGCTTTGGAGCGATAGCTTAAATGGGGTGGGGGGCTCCAGAGTGGCTTCTGAGCGATGCCTTAAATAGGGTGGGGGCTCCAGACCACCTTCTGAGCGATGCCTTAAATGGGGTGGGGGCTCCAGAATAGCTTCTGAATGATGCCTTAAATGGGGTGGGGGGCTCCAGACCAGCTTTGGAGTGATGCCTTAAATGGGGTGGGGGCTCCAGAATAGCTTCTGAGCGATGCCTTAAATAGGGTGGGGGCTCCAGAGTAGCTTTGGAGTGATACCTTAAATGGGCTGGGGGCTCCAGAATAGCTTCTGAGCGATGCCTTAAATAGGGTGGGGGCTCCAGACCAGCTTTGGAGCGATAGCTTAAATGGGGTGGGGGGCTCCAGAGTGGCTTCTGAGCGATGCCTTAAATAGGGTGGGGGCTCCAGACCACCTTCTGAGCGATGCCTTAAATGGGGTGGGGGCTCCAGAATAGCTTCTGAATGATGCCTTAAATGGGGTGGGGGGCTCCAGACCAGCTTTGGAGTGATGCCTTAAATGGGGTGGGGGCTCCTTTGTGAGTGATGCCTGGGGGGCTCCAGACCAGCTTTGGAGTGATGCCTTAAATGGGGTGGGGGCTCCAGAATAGCTTCTGAGCGATGCCTTAAATAGGGTGGGGGCTCCAGAGTAGCTTTGGAGTGATACCTTAAATGGGCTGGGGGCTCCAGAATAGCTTCTGAGCGATGCCTTAAATGGGGTGGGGGCTCCAGACCAGCTTTGGAGCGATAGCTTAAATGGGGTGGGGGGCTCCAGAGTGTCTTCTGAGTGATGCCTTAAATAGGGTGGGGGCTCCAGACCACCTTCTGAGCGATGCCTTAAATGGGGTGGGGGCTCCAGAATAGCTTCTGAATGATGCCTTAAATAGCGTGGGGGGCTCCAGAATAGCTTCTGAATGATGCCTTAAATGGGGTGGGGGGCTCCAGACCAGCTTCTGAGCGATGCCTTAAATAGGGTGGGGGCTCCAGAGTAGCTTTGGAGTGATACCTTAAATGGGGTCGGGGCTCCAGACCAGCTTCAGAGCCATGCCTTAAATGGGGTGGGGGCTCCAGACCAGCTTTGGAGCGATAGCTTAAATGGGGTGTGGGGCTCCAGAGTGGCTTCTGAGCGATGCCTTAAATAGGGTGGGGGCTCCAGAGCAACTTTGGAGCGATGCCTTAAATGGGGTGGGGGCTCCAGAATAGCTTCTGAGCAATGCCTTAAGTGGGGTGGGGGCTCCAGAATAGCTTCTGAGCGATGCCTTAAATGGGGTGGGGGCTCCAGACCACCTTCTGAGCGATGCCTTAAATGGGGTGGGGGGCTCCAGACCAGCTTTTGAGCGATACCTTAAATGGGGTGGGGGCTCCAGAATAGCTTCTGAATGATGCTTTAAATGGGGTGGAGGGGTCCAGACCAGCTTTTGAGCGATAGCTTAAATGGGATGGGGGCTCCAGAATAGCTTCTGAGCCATGCCTTAAATGGGATGGGGGCTCCAGAATAGCTTCTGAGCCATGCCATAAATGGAGTGGGGGCTCCAGAGCAGCTTTGAAGCGATGCCTTAAATGGGATGGGGGCTCCAGACCACCTTCTGAGCGATGCCTTAAATGGGGTGGGGGAGTCCAGACCAGCTTCTGAGCGATGCCTTAAATGGGGTGGGGGCTCCAGACCACCTTCTGAGCGATGCCTTAAATGGGGTGGGGGCTCCAGACCACCTTCTGAACGATGCCTTAAATGGGGTTGGGGGCTCCAGACCACCTTCGGAGCGATGCCTTAAATGGGGTGGGGGCTTCAGACCAGCTTTTGAGCGATACCTTAAATGGGGTGGGGGCTCTAGAATAGCTTCGAAGCGATGCCTTAAATGGGGTGGGGGTCCAGGCTGCGGTTTCTGGGCCCGAAGCGGAGGAGGGAGGGAGGGGGGAATAGGCTCTCTCTGCTCCCCCCGGACCTGCCGAGGCCTCGGAGCGTGACGAGGCGTGTCTGATCCCGTTCGTCCTTTCCACTCTTCCAGAGAGCGACGGATGAGGAGGGCGGCCTGGGCAAGCGAGGAGGCCACGTCGTCGGGCGTTCGGGGGATCCTCGGACTTTGTGGGCCCCCCACGGCGGCCACTTGGAGGGTGAGTGGAGGCCGGTCGCGAGGAAAGACTGGGCCGTCTCTCCCTTGCTGGCCGGGCCAGAGGAGGGGGTGCCTTGGCCCCTCTGTGAAGACCCCCCCCTGTCCTTAACATGGCTGCCCTCCCTCCCTCCCTCCCCCCCTCCCTGGGGGTCTCTGTTGCCCACGGGTGGTCCTCTCCGGCCTTCTTCCACAGTCCCTGCTGGTTTTTGAAGAAGAGTCTAGACAGTCACTTGTGTGAGATGGTGTAGGTTCTCCTGCTTGAGCAGGGGGCTGGACTAGATGACCTCCAGAGTCCCTTCCAGTTCTATTCTATTCTATTCTATTCTATTCTATTCTACTCTACTCTATTCTAAATTCTCTATCCTCGATTCTGTTCTATTCTTATTTCTATTCTGTTCTTTTCTTATTTCTTATTCTATTCTATTGTATTTATTTCTTCTTCTGTTCTGTTCTATTCTATTCTATTTTCTTATTCTACTATTCTATTCTATTCTATTCTTATTTCTTATTCTATTCTATTCTATTCTATTCTATTCTATTTATTTCTTATTCTGTTCTATTCTATTTTCTTATTCTACTATTCTATTCTTATTTCTTATTCTATTCTATTCTTATTTCTTATTCTATTCTATTCTACTCTACTCTAAATTATTCTTGATTCTGTTCTATTCTTATTTCTATTCTATTCTGTTCTTTTTTTATTTCTTATTCTATTCTATGGTATTTATTTCTTCTTCTGTTCTGTTCTATTCTATTTTCTTATTCTACTATTCTATTCTATTCTTATTTCTTATTCTATTCTATTCTTATTTCTTATTCTATTCTATTCTTATTTCTTATTCTATTCTATTCTTATTTCTTATTCTATTCTATTCTATTTATTTCTTATTCTGTTCTATTCTATTTTCTTATTCTTCTATTCTATTCTATTCTTATTTCTTATTCTATTCTATTCTTATTTCTTATTCTACTATTCTGTTCTATTTATTTCTTATTCTGTTCTATTC